TATGTTTGATATTATTAACAAAATTCCCCTGGAGCAAATTACAAAAAACACCTATTTACAAAAAACCAATATTACATGGTTGGTATGATTGTTAATGCATTGTATGTCTCCCAGACGATGCAATATAGTCCATACAAAGCCTAGGCATGCTGAGTATCAAATTATTGATCTGATCTTGGGGGATATTACACCACTCAAAAAGCAATGCTCTCCGGGTTCCGGTAGACATGTAGGAGGAGGTTGACGGGCTGCAACTCGTCGGCCAAGCATATCCCACACGTGCTCTACTGGATTCAAGTCCGGTGAGAATGCTGGCCAGTCCATACGGGTGATATCCTGCGATTGAAGGCATTCGCTTACGATGTTTGCACGGTGAAGACGGGCGTTGTCATCCATAAACACAAATTGTGCGCCCATGGCGCCCCGAAACAAACGTACATGTTGTTCCAGAATGACGTCCCGATAGATCTGGCTTGTCATGGTTCCAATTTGAACATGCAGGTCAGTTCTGGAACCCAGAATAATTCCACCCCAAAGGAACACTCCTGCACCACCGTAACGGTGTCGTTCAATGATGTTTTCTTGGTGGTAACGGGTACCTGGAGCTCTCCATATGAAAGTCCGGCGAGAATCAGACTGCAAGCTAAACCTGGTCTCTTCGGAAAACATCACTAAAGCTCACTGTTGCGGTGTCCACAATGTATGCTCTCTACTCCAGGCTAACCGCAGGCGACAGTGAGTTGCAGTAAGTGGAACGCATCTGACAGGTCTACGAACATATAGACCAATCTGTCCTAAGCGTCTGTACACGATCTGCCTTGAAATTGTCGTACCAGTGGCTGAAGAGAGCTGACGAGACAGGTCTGAGGCTGTGCTCCGCCTGTTTCTTTTGGCAGTAACTGCCAAATACCGGTCCTCATTCGGCGTTATAACTCTGGGGCGACCTGTGCTGTAACGTCTACTCACATTACCATCATCTTGGAATCGTTGCCAAGGCCTGGAGATGACACTCTGGGCAATTCCAAGTTCGTCTGATACTTCCAGTTGGGTACGCCCACATTCCGATGATTCTCCACGTAAAAAATCATCCAAATGCGTCCTTTGTGTCATAACTATTCGGTTATTGCACTGAAATTCTTATAAAGCGCCTGCGAACAATTTTACTTCTTTGCCTATATTCCTGATATATCACTCTCTTACACTCTCGTCATTGTGACGTACCATCTGTGTCATCTGGTTACTTCCTGAAATTTGCACATGATTCTTGAAGATGTGTGTAGTGATTTTACAGGTGATATATTTATTTTAGAGTTCGATTTCCGCATGACTCTGAATTATCCTTAATTTATGGACATGAGTGTATATTAATCCCATATTTGATAACTATATTTATTTCATAACATATATTTTCTCCTTCCTGCATGTGTAACACTAACACATTCTGACAGTTTACCTAATCCACAAAATAAGTGAGATAGGAAGTTATTTGCAATGTATACTGAAGAGCCAAAACATAATGACCACCTACTCGATAACGTATTGCGCGACCTTTGGCTTGCAAAACAGCTGCAAGTTCTTGGTAGATGACTGAAGACAGGTTGTACCAAATATCTAAGCAGCAGTCACACAAAGTCGAGATATTCACACATGGTGGTGTTTGAGCTCTGACATCACAAATATGCTCTATCGGGTTAAGATCCGGCGAGTTAGGTTGCCCGGACATTAAATTGAAATTCATCCTTATGCTCCTCGAACCATTCCAATATAGTTCGAGTCTTGTGACATGGGGAATTGTCCTGCTAGAGGATTCTGTTTCCATTTGGGAAGACAGACGCCACGTTAGGGTGCAACTAATTCGCAGTTATGTTCAGAAAGTCAGCAGCTTTCATGGTCTATTCTAACACAAATAAGGTTCCCAGAACCGCCCATGAGATCATCCCCCAGAGCATATGCTGCATCACCAGTCTGTGTATCACTGGGGAGGGTGATACACAGACTGGTGACGGGGAGAACAACTGTTCGCCTTGAAGACGATGTACCCTGATACGACTATCGACGTGATAAACGAGAAATCATGATTCATCCGACCAGGCAACTATCTTCCACTTATCTATCGTCCAGTCTCGATGTTCCCGGGTCCACTATAGGCGTAGTTGACAATGACGTTTGGTCAACAGAAGCCCACGACTGGGACATCTGCTCAGTCCCATATCCAACAGTGTCCGCTGAACTATGTGTTCTGAAACACTTGCACTTGGATCTACATTGTACTGGGCTGCTGAGCCGCAGTCCGGCCCCGATTTTGCTGTACTGAGCGAGGCAGTCTCCGAAAGTCCTTTTCTTTGGTGACGCGTGGACGTTCAACACCTTGGCGTGTGCTGCTGGTTTCACCGCCCTTTATTCATTTTGCTTAAATACTGACAACGGCAGATCGTAACAACCTATTAGTCGTGCAGTTTCCGAGATACTCATTCCGATTGTTCGGTCTATTACAGTTTGCCCACTATCAAATTCTCTTAGGTCTTCAGCCTTTCCTATTACTCGTAAAACTGCAAGAATGATTCCTTACCTTCTCTAGCAGTAGTTAAATACCATTCTCCCTTAATCACGTGCGCTCCGCGTAATCCAGACAAGCTCATTGAAAAATGTAGGGATGTTTATAATGTTATGGCTCGTTATTGTAAAAATATAATATATCATTTCAAAGTAAGTTTGAAATAAAAGCCTGTTCTTTTTCCTTTGATTAAGACGTATGTGTGAATACGTATCAGTACACATTAATACACAAGAAATATGTATTGATACACAGTGAGACACGATCCTTTGCTAATACACTCATACCATGAAGCTAAAGTTATCAAAGAAACGCGCGAGTCTAATGGGTAGCCTGTGAGCTGAGAACATAGATATGGTTTTGGTAGTGACTATTTTCATCCTCGGTATTTAACTGCAAGATATTTAAGGACGAAATAAAATTATTGCCGCTTGAAATATTTGTTACAGGCTTCTTGCACAACTGATGCAGTGAAATAAGTGCATAGCTATAAATATACATTTATTCAATAAAGCTTAATTATTGGTTAAGTCTTCACGTGGAGTTGAAAACATTTTCTTGCTTTTCATTTTGAATAGCTTATATTAAATATAAGATTTTGTATTCTATATCTTTTAATCCTGAAAGACTAATTCTGACTCATATCATAACTACTTAGCTTACAGTTCTTTCAGGTTTTAGAGTTGTGACTTCTCTCATTTGTCTGACAATAAAATCAGACGAAGTCCTGTAATTTTATATTGGTTAATATGCAAGAAGTTAGTTTTGTTGTTGTAGTTTAAACCTTTGGCACCTGATAGGCGATAGTACCATTCTGCACAGTTCGATACAAATTTTGAAGAAAAATTTGCCGGGGAATGAATCCGAGGTTTTTCCTTCGGCTAAACTCATCAGAGGACATTCAGATTGAGGGTAGTTAAAATGCCGCGAATGCTGCTAAGACATTATATTCTTTTAAACATCTATACTTCTTCGGGATTCGAACCCGGACGCAAAGCTATGGTAGCTGGCTTCTCTACCACTAAGCTAACAAGGCAACTGCAATTTCTTTTTAGGCTTATGCGTTTTTAAAAACTTCTAAAAATATGTTTTTCACTTTTTGAAACTTGAATGGCAAGTTCTTCAAAATGTTAGACTGTGGTTGAGATAAAATAACACGCCGAACAAGTATTAATTTAGAAGTCAAACAACAAAAATCAGCGTTATATTTGCAAATTTTCACAGGACTAGTTTCGATTGTTTTACCGAACCATCATCCTCAGCTGCCAAAGCGACGTTGATTTTTGTTGTCTGACTTCTAAATTAGTAATGTTAGACTGTAGTGTAAAACTAAATAATTTGTTTTAGCCTATAGGGGCAATCTGCCCAGAATGGCTATTAATTTTGTTTTGGCATTTTGTGTTGGTTCATTATAAACGGTGTTTGTTTCACTTTTCAAATGGTTGCCACCAAATATTTTCGTCCTGCATTATATTTAAAGAAATTAAATAATGAAGAATCTACATGAATGTATGTATGTTTCTCGCAAAGTGAAAAAAATAACGATACCTAGAGACATCAAATTTTGAATAAAGTAGTCCTCCACTCGAATATGGAAGCCTGAATTTGGAATTTGTTTTATTATCTAATTCATATTTTGTAAACTTTAACGAATTAACATATAAAACGTTAAAAAAAACGCCCCAATATAAAATCCGAAAGCTTTCAATTTTTTTTTTTGGGGGGGGGGAGGTATGTGTGTATCGCTCTGCAAACCACGGATACAGAAAAGTTTAAAATTAGTTTTTAAGCAACTAGAATAATTATATATAACATGTAGTTATTCCCACAAATATGTAGACCATAAACATAAACGGCAGAGTAATTATTATATATATACTACATTATATCCTTTTTCTCATATACTAGCCTAATACAAAAAATATCAGCTTATTTTTAATTGAACAACTATACAAATAAGCTATAAATTTTGTTGTACATAAAAAGAAGAGGCTTTTTTTTTGTTTATTTTTAATATAGTAAATATAAAATTAAGATTCCGTATTTAGTTTTGTATCCTATAGAGAGTAAATAAACAGTATCCTATACAGAGTAAATAAAATTTCTACGTAGTTTGATTGAATTCTGTGCTTAGTTTTGGCAAGAAAAAGTGTATTTTTTGCTTCCCAACAGTAAGAAATATTTTTCAGCTGTATAATCATTATGAAATATATATGATAAACGAAAAAATATAATTACTTGAGTTGAATTATAACACTGTGCATTTGATGCAGAGTAAAAAAGCCAAGTTTTTTAAATATTTCGGATACGCTTTGGCTGGGATATCTACAGTTCTAGTTTGTATTCTACCAATGTAATATTAGACACATGATGTTAAATTATTGTAGGTTATCTATAGTTTTATTATTTTATTGCATTCTAACAAAACAATTCTTTTCTCTCGCAGCCAAATTAAAACAGCAGAATGCAGCAGAGGAAGAAAAGAAAAAGAAACAGTTTTTCTCATTTGGCAAAGTAAAATCCTTGTTTTCTTCGCCAGAGAAGGAAAATCCTCCCGAACAATCAGCTGATGAAAAAGAAGAAAATTCTCGAGAGGATGCCGCTCAGTAGATAGACTTTTTTTTCCTTCTTTGCTGGTTTGTGGCTTTCGTATAGGTTTCAGATGTTCGAAAAAAGTGCATTTGATGTTAAAGAATTTTATATTAAATGAATTTTCGGTGTTTATCTAAATTTTTGTGAATAATTCCGGCATAATGCATGCTATGATGGATAATTAAAAAAACAAAAGAATGAAACGCAGTAAAGTTCGTTAAGTATATAAATCAAATCATATGAACTATTATTATAAGTATAGATTTGTTATAATCATGTTTCCTGCATAACAAAAAGAGAAGAAGAAGTAGGAGTACTGCTAATTTGCATTATATACAATTTACTCAGACTGTTACCAACGGCCTTCAAGAACAGCATGCGCACCTTAGTACCCTGATATTTAATAAAAATAATGAAAGATATTTTACCTTAAAATGAAATTATTTATTATTTTTATGAATAATTGTCCACACATTTAAACGTGTTCGCATAAAACATAATTTTCTTTATGAGTGCGCAGTATTCGATCATATCATTTACGCACAAAGAATGTCTTACCAAACCATTCTAAAGATTTAACAATTTTTAACTATCCTCCAACAGATTTTTTTAAAAAAAAATCATAGCTGCTCCTTAGTGTATACAGAAATGAAAATTCGAAACATTTACAACATATAATCCAATTACCTTTTAGCCTGCTGACGGCAAAATCAATATACGGACTTGGGAAGAACAGCATTTTTATTCGTTCTATACGAAAGAATTTTCAAATATTAGATCAGAAATAAATGCAACTTTAACTTTTGAAAGCGTATTTACATAGTTAATACGTTTTTCAAAAGCAAAATACACAGATATGCCACAGGAATGGTTGAATGATAGTAAATGTTGCTTCAAAACGAGTTTCACAAATAGTTTACCTTCTGGCTCCAACAAGTAACATTATTTTTGTTATCAGAAATAGTACAGTGGAAGCAAACGCCTTAAATGCTTTCAAATCAATCGAAAACTCAGCCATTATTATCTATTGCTTTTACTAAGAAATCTGACATCAAGTTTTGCAGGAAAAGAAAAAAACTAATGAGATAAAACGTATAGCACGAAATTAGTCGGATTTTGTGTATTTTTAAACAAAATGAATTCTGCACAGAAAAAAAGGAAATAACGTTTCATTGACCCCCCATCCAAAAAAAAAAATGTTCTTCACATCAAAATTAATACTTTTCTTATGTTTTATCATACATTAAAATTTAAAATAGCAAGTATCGTTAAACTATATCGTCATACGTAAGAATGAAATAAAAGATATTTTACCTTTTATTTACATAACATAGTGTATGATATTTCAGTACATACATCGTAATATATTAGAATTTTTCTTAAAAGAATACGGCTTTTTGCTTAGATACCTGATTTTTCTTATCTTTTATCATTAATTAAAATTTAAAATAGCTATCATCGTTAAATTATATCGTCAGACGTAAGAATGAAATAAAGATATTTTAACTTTTTTTTTACATAATATAGTGTATGATATTTCAATACAGACATCGTATAATGGTACATGCATCATATTATATTGGAATTTTTCTATTTATTTCAAAAGAATATGGTTTGGATCCTTGATTCCCTATACTTAAATTTCTAACTTATTAGAAAAAAAAAAAAAAAAAAAAAAAACTACCACCTTAATTTTTTTTAATAAGAACCGAATTTTGAACATTTTAGTTAGTTACAAAGTTTGTAACTTAACATTTAAAGTAAAATTACAAACACATACCGGCTTTTAAAGAAACGCTGATATATATAAAAAAAAAGAAAAATTTCTTTGTATTCAAGTTGCTTTTTATTCCCAATGGCAGATTATGAACAGTTACAGGAGGGGAAAAAAAAAAAAAAAAAAGAGAGATAGAGAGAAAGAAAGAAAGAATACAGCAACACAGTGTTAAAGGAAGGGGAAAAAAAACTGTAATAGTCTATTAATCTAACATATCTCTTACCTCCCAGTAACGCTCAGTGAGAACTCTTGTGCAGAGCAGGACAGTTGGGTAGATGTGCGGCATCCATCACCTCTCCAGAGCTGCACAGAGTGCATATCCGAAAAGGAACAATTTTGAATATGAAGATGATATTGTAGGCAGCCATGTCGGGTGGCAAGGCGGAATTCGGCGACCGCTCTACGCCTTGGGCCATTACACAAATTCGGGATAGCATTTTTTGAATAAAAATTAGAAACACGATAATAGAGATCTTTCTAAGCCCGTACTTTGAAAGATCTTTTGATAAGATCCCTAACCGTATGGAAAGGCAACGAACGAGAAATATTCTGCATGATTAAAGCACCCTTTTTTGCCAGGAAGTTGGCTTTCTCGTTACTTGGAACCCCACAGTGAGCAAGAACCCACTGGAGGACTATAGTTTTCTCAAATGAAGCTAGGTTTTTTAGATAATGTCAACAATCCAATATGTCCTGTGATATGGGATTTTTATCTGAAGCGATAGTGAACAGAGCAGCATGGGAAGTATTAAAGTTGCTTATTACATTAAATTTAAAACTCCATTTAAAAAATGTATTGAAGACAGTTGAACTTTACTGCAATCTGGAAACAAAACTCTAGTCGCTATACAAATAGTTGAATTTAACTGAACTTATTTTTTATGTTTTGTTGTTTGTAATCCCCTTTTATTATATTTATGATCATTGATACATATACAGCTTATCTGAATGCCATGTATGTTTATACTCTGAATAATTCCGTTAATAAAATTTTATGTTAGAAATTGAGAAGAATGATTTAGATGTACTGTGTGTGACTTTCGAAACAGTTAAACATTTCATTTGAATTCATCTATATAATGAAGATATATCTATTATGTAATAATAGATTTTAAAATTTAAATTTGTTCTTATATATTAAACAAATGAGAGCATATATATTCTGATTAATTATACATTCTGACATATGCAGCACATAAATATCTACCATATGGAGAATACAATGTATTATACAAAACATTAGCTTCAGAAGAAAGAAATTTAAAAAAACTTAAAACTATAAATTTTCTTTATTCATAGCAATAAATAGTTATCTAGTTATATATAGTGTAACCTTAAAATAATCTGTTATTTATAATTTCTTCACAGCAAAGTATAATACAACATTAAAATCCATAAACACAAGATTTTTCAACTAACAAAAATCTAACATGGTGGTCTGAGATACAAATCCTTCTTTATTAATTATGAACTAATCATTGAGTATAATTAATTTTTAACAACTTGGAGAAAGTTCAAATTAAACTGATTCCAGACAAAATTATTATCTAAAAAACAATATCTTAAAAGTATAAAGAGTTAAAAAAAAAAATTGCTTTTCTTGCAACATATATGTTTTTCATTTGCTTTTGGAGAGTCTAAGGCTTTAATATGAGGTAATACAAATAAAGTATATTATGTATATTCATTCCTTTTCCTACAAGAAATATGATTATTCTTAATTCTAAATATTTTATTCACATGAAGAGAAATAACACATAAAATTGCTAGACCTCTTGATACAGATTATTAGTAACATAGTAGCAATGCAATCATTTGAACAATGTGGACTGAATAAGCTTGTATGTGTGTCATTAGTAAAGTATCTGTTGACCAGTAGATTATTTGGTATACATTAATGCTGTGATGAAACTAAAATTTTAGAAATTAGATCACTTCCTAAAATAAGTATCAAACAGAAAAAATTAGCTTAAATAAATATAATTCAACTATGGGTTCACTAAACTATTGTAAGAAGCAGTCTGCCAAAAAAAGTTGCCTGCTTCCAATTAATCTTACCATTGCTGCACTGATTATATAATCGCTGCAAAATGCATCAAAAACAAACCATACTATAGCTATCTTGTTTTCTTGGTTACAGAAGGGCATAAATATATGGCTGGTCTGATAGAAATAACAATGGCTTAAATATACGACAGAAGAACAAATATATGCTGGAAGGAGGGAGAAAATACCTTATAATACAAGGATAATAAATAATATTAACAAATGAATCATCAAATTATCATTCAAAATTTTCTACTTTACCTTATATATAGGCGTTCTAGTAAGAGTTTGACAATATCAGATGGCAAGCAGATTAAAAGAAATCAAATGCCATTACAATGGTTTTGGACCAATGCTTCATTCAGGAGATAAGAGGCTTAAAATTCCCATGACATTATTATAGTAGTTACATGAATACAGAACGCCATGGCTTATTCTTGATCATCTTCTTTTTATCTATACATCACAAAGTTTCTTATGTGGTCATGTTAAATCAGCTGTGATACAAGAATCTCTGAACGTTAAAAAAAAAAGCTCATAGCACATATTCAGTAAACCTTTGATACATTTGGACAGGTCAGGCACCTACAAATATGTCAGCCAATCCATGATGAAGTGCTGTTTGCATTGACATCAATAGTCAGCAATTTGAGTGTTATGAAATATACCATGCAATATTTGTATTAAGTACTGTCACCAGCATCATTTAGAACATAATATATACTACATCTTTCACTCAACAAACATAGACTGTACCATGTATCACATGTGTATCTTCCATTTACTTAGTTCTTCTGTTTGCTTATCATCTGGCAGTGTGTTTGCATTTCAGGTGCAGTTACTAACAGGCAAGAAAGGGTTTCTTGGACGTCTCCTATTTTTGTCTAATTTAACTTGTATATATGTAGTCATTCCACACATTCAGCACCATTAACATTTGCAAGTGTTACTCCACACTGGAGCTATGTTACTTCAATACAGTATACTTTCACAGGTACAGGCAGATGATTTCATTGGATTTTAAAGTTGTACATATCCTGGATGAACTGGACAAACAGCATTTCATTTTTTCTAACCTCCCATATAAGACCACACTGTATGCATTATGATATGAGGGGAAACATGTATGGAAATAGCCTGCACAGTAGATAAATTATCTAACTATTTTGAATAATGACTATATTAGGTACATAAGCACTGAGTCAAAAATACTTTATAACTTTATAATCAGTGTTGCAATTTAAAAATTTGAGATGTATTCCCCCCAACTGAAAAACTATAAATACATAATTTTCCACTATGTTCCTATTTCAGAACTTACAATAAAAAGTAATTTAGAAACTTCAAACACAGCAGTTCTACTCCGAATACTAGTAACATTGGCTGTATATCACATCAATGGATTCAGATTCGAATTTTGGTTAAGGTGAAAACCATTATGATTTATTTCTTCCATTTTGGATAAAAATTAATACATTCTAAGTAATGTTCTTGATAAAATGTTTGATGGGACCGCTCATACTCTGATAAATGTCTATTCAGCAAATATCTAGCCATTAGAGAAAAATGAATTATTTTTGACAGAAAAAAATTTATTGCATATTAGATGGCAATTATTTTGCAATGCTTTTTGACAGAAACACAAACTTGATACTAATTAAAGTTAATTCTAATAAAACTGGTGATTTTGATAGAATGATTTAGGGAATAAGAAAGGATATCTTGCTTTTGAACATTTCATTACATGCCCAAGTCAGTTTCTATATGAACTTTTCTTATATTTAGATATTTAATATTGATTTTGATATGACATAGTTGAGGAAAAAATCCAGTTCTCTTTTTACACAACTTACAAAACCTTACTTCTTTCTCTTAGGTTAAAGGCAATTGAAAAAATTTAATGCTGATGATGAATAAGAAATATGTTAAAAGCAGTTCAGTTAGAGAAAACATTTACAGAAATATTGTATATTTACCATATTTGTAATAAGTGACAGCAATGATTTCCACATTACCTTCATTACATTAGTTGTGTCTAATTTAGTTAAATTAAGTTAGGTGTTTTAGTATACAGATTTAATACAGTTAAAAAGTACTATTACCAATATATATTTAAGTAAAGATTCTGATATGGTTTACTTGAAAATATTTTTACACCAGTTTTCACAAGTGCAATGAATCTTTTCCTTTCTTCATACACATTGTTAACACATTTTTTTTTTTCAAGAGCCGCATAAATCTAGAACTAAGCACATACATTTCAGTTTTCAGCAAAGACTGTAGAAAAAAAATTAATGTAACAATAGCTAAAATGGAATGCTACCCTGCATGACATTTCTGGAGTCTATCAAAGAAAAGTACTTAAGCTGTGTGGTACCGATTTTAATAATATTATGCTAAAATTTGTATTACTATAATGAATAACATGCTAAAATACAGAGAACAGGCTTTATGTGCACAGTGAAAAAAGTTATAGAAACTTTACTTACTTTCTTCTTTAGTAACTTCTCAGAAAACATTCCTCACTGATTAAAATATTCATCCAATGAAGCTTATTGACTAAATTTCTTCTCATTTGCTTAATTGTTTATCTTTATAAACAGTCTGAACTTTGTAAAGTAAATTAACTATCTTACTATTATCATTTATCTAAGACATTTTTCTCCCAATTTTGCTTTGCATTAAACTGCCAGAAGTAGCTTCAAGAATTCTAAATTTAACGCTTTTACTTATTTTTGCAGTTTCTAGACTTCGGGAGAACTCACTCATATTTTAAGCATTATAACCAATTTCAAACTCAAATGCAAATATTGGTATGACCAATTTTAAACTCAAATACATAAATCAATTCCCTTAAATATTTATTCATAATACTTCACTAATAAACAATGTTAGAAGCGAAATCTTTTAAAGAGTGCTGTCTCACAGCTCCTTTACATGATTACATTATCCATTCCCTCCCAAAAAAAAATGTTTTCAGAAATGTATAAAAATCTGATTTAAATAATTATGCACTCTTGGAGATATATTTCTTGATATTATTTGAATTACTTTATGCTAATGTCAAAATTACGTATTTTGGTGATCATCTTGATAAACTATTTGAAGATCTTGGCTGGGTTATGCAGGATTTATCTCAGAAAATATTATTAATTTTTATGGCCATGCTGTTTCCTCAGAAATATTTGATCTCTTTTAGAAGTGGCAATTTGAAAATTCTTTGTATTAGGGGGGAGGGGGAAAGAAAGAAAAAAAAAAGAATTCTCTTCATATTTATTGATGCATAATAATCATCTATATTTCTACACAGATAAGTACTTTGAGGCAATTGTTTTTTTATTTTCATTTTAAATTGCATTTGTTTTATATAAATTCACTCTTTAAACAATCTGCTACGGAAAAGCCTTGCTGTTCCTGCCTGAGGACTCCAGTTTCCCATGATATATCTAGAGCTAAGAGGGTGGCAAATTTTCTTTTTAGAACTATGTCTGTTTATGAACTAATGTCTGTTTGCAAAAACGGTCTCTTTTACGTATCTGAAAAAAAAATCACTAGTATGTTTATTATGTGGTCTGTTTGGGGCTGGCATGATTGGCAACCACCTTTACAATTACACAATTACAATTCCTAATATTAATGACTATGTCTTTTTACTTCTTTCTAGACTTTACCGGGCTGCCTGACAGTAACTGATGGCAGAAATGCCAAAGCTGAGCATAGGATTAGAAAGAAAGAGAAAAATGTTCCACTTTCCCCCACCCCCCAAAAAATTGCATTAGAATACTATTTAGAAATTATCTGATATTAACAGTTTTTCTGATAATATTTGCAAAAGAATGTGAATGTGGCAGGGGGAAAAAACACATTTAGTCACAAGTAATAAATATAGAAATATTTTAATACAAATCTCTATAAAAATAATGATTATATAAAATAATACATACAAAAAGCCAAATATAATACAATTCTTAATTTACAATTAATTTTCAATTTATACACTGAGAAATTCTGAAAACACTAATGTGACAAAGCATTATAAAAATTCTTCAGTCTGTTCTAAAAAGTGGAATGCAAGTATATATACAGAATGTTGAACATGATTTGAAACGAAAAGATTAACATAAGCTTTAAAAAAGATAAGTGTACTTTAAAATGCCATAACAAAAATGAAAATTTGTTTTCAGTGAACGATGTATTTACATACAAATGCAGTGATTTTCAGATTTTCTAAAGTGCACACTTTTTTATATTTACATTACTTGAATTATTTAATGTTTATGTCAAAATTAAATATTTTGGCAATCAACTTCATAAAAATATTTGATGGTCTTGATTGGGTTATGTACCAATCATGTTAGAGAACAACAATATTATAAACTACAATACTCCTGTTTGCGTCTTCAAAAATATTTCTCTCTTTAAGATGTGGTCATTTAAAGATTCCCTACTTTTTTTTTAAAAAAAAGGGGGGAAAATTTCATTGATTATCCTCCTGATATAATTATGCTAGTATTTATTGATTATTATATCCTCATATTTATTGAACTGTAAAATTTTATTACAGTTCAGTCTAATAATTTGGTTACATAATATAAAACTTATTAACTTATAATTCAGATTTAAATTAGCACTGAATAAAAGTAAAATAAACAAAGTACTATCACTAACAAAAACAAAGCAATTACAATTTGCCATCAAATCTTTTCTGAAATTTTATTGAATCATATTCAACCAATTAGTTAAACTATATAAAATTCTCATTAGTAATATAACTCGAATATAACATGCAAAGTATAAAAGTATATATAACAAATTATTATGGCTTTAGATTACACCATTCTTAAATAGCATTGTTTAAAAATATCATTTCTTAAAAATTATTTTTAATAAGTTAAGTACATTAAACAATACAAAATTTTTAATTTATAATAAATACCTTGTACTCTTTAAATATCCACAGTACAAAGATATAACAATTTAGTAAGACAAAACAAATACTATATTAGCATTTTAACACACAAAGGTTAACTTTTACCACTTTTGCACAAAATTCAATACATGAAATAGTTTTCTCATGCATTTACAACCCATTCCATTTTTTAAATTACACAAGATCTCCGAGTTTTATTCTTTTCTTAATCACACATTTTCTGCTTCATTGCTGCTATGTTATATTCTGAAATATGCAATTATTAAATCAGTAGCACAATGCTTTACCTAGATTGGAAGTATTTTATTGTCTTTAAGAACTTTTACAGTTACGTTACCAACTTTCTCAGTTACAAAATTTCACATGAACTTTTAAAATCAATTTATATTTTTAAAACATTATATAATATGATTCAACAATTGGGGGAGAGAGAAAGAGATATTATGAAAATGCAGTCAGAAACTTTAGAATACTGTTTAGTATGTTACATACTTTTTAAATCCACAAATATGAGATTAACATTGTAATATATTTTTCCACAAATATGAGATTAACATTGTTGCAATGAAATATACACTTAGTGCTTCTACTTTAATTAGGTTTTGAATATATTAAAAATCCCTCTCCCCATATTTAGGATATTTCAAATCATTTGACATCTGGTTTATTACATGGCTGATTTTTATAACAAATTATCAGTTATACTTATCTTTAATACTATCAATGTAATAAGGAAAAACAAATTTACAAATGAACTCAATTTTAATTTTATACATATTAGTTCCTATTACAAAACATAAATGTAATTAAAAAATTAAAAGCTTCATATTTTTTAATATTAAGTCAGAGAGTTTTTGAAAGGATATTTAATTTCATTTTAAAAATATAATTTTTTAAAATTTTATTGCTGTTTACCTTCCAGTTAATAAACTATTCAGATACATTTGATGAATTCTGTTATCCGCTGACATCTCAGATTTAAAGATATAAATTAACACATTCATTCACTGAACATTCAAAATACATGTTTTATATACAACACAGTATAAATTTAGTGACTTAGTGACTTCCTACTGCATTTGCATCTCTTTCAAAGAGACCTTGAAACAGCATCCCTAAGTTCACTATTCCATAGCCACTCTTGAGCAAAATTTTATCAGCTGTGAGCTTAAGATTATTATAAAAGTCTATTTCATCTTTGGTGACTTTGATATATCCTATAAAAATAAGTATGGATAAAAGTATAGTAAAATTTGCAATGGAAAGTGTAAATATAATTTATACATATTTGAATATTATGTACAGAACAATCCTGAATTAGAAATATTCTCAGTTTAATGCTTAGTTTTGTTGGTATTATACGAAATTTATATGATCTAAGTTAAAGTGATGGATTTTTTTTTAACTTGAAGATAAAAACAAAGAGCTTCTAAAACTATTCAGAGCTCTTCAGTTATGCTAAAACACATGGTATTTTCTTTTGACTTTACTATTCTCAATTTTTGTCTTCGAAATTTTCTATCTCTTAAAAAAGTTTATGAAGCAGGGACACCAAATATACACATGAGACAACTTATTATAATTAAGAAAACTATTCAAATTGTGAGTACATTGCAATTAAGACACAAAATTAGCATTTTGTAGCTATATGAAAATGCCAAAATTCACAGAAAACTCCTTGTTATTTAGCAATGTGTCAGACACCCTCTAGTCTGATTTCTACATTCATTGAGAAATTTTTTATTCCAATTTCACAAATGAAAATGGTGCTTTATGGTCAAAAAACACAAAACTCAGTACCTATCAATAACATATATTGCTGAATATAGAAATCACATATTACCTCAGAAAACAAATCTTTGTTTATTGCCAGTGGGAAATAAAAGCATGACTTACTGCTCAAATGCAACTTCAAACCGATATAATATAAAACTTCAAATCGATATAATATAAAAATATGGGTAACTTTTCTGCATGCAATTATAAAAAAATTAAGAAACTATAAAATTTTCAAATACTTAATTATACATTTTGTCTCTTTTGTTAGAAAGCCAACCACCAACAAGCAGATTAAAATTCAATTTATTCTTCTTTATCCACATTAGTTTTGCAGTAATTTGAGAACCTTCAATAATTTTCTATTAAATTTTAATTTTCATTACTGCTCTCTCTCTGCATATATACATATATGCCTAGGACACAATATACTGTAGCAAAATTATTCATGCACAGCATAAATGCATCAATCACAAATTTCACTCCAAAAGCAAAGAGCTTATATATTTTCTCTTACTATTTATAATTTTAACCCATCTTTTTAATAAAATTAAATGTGCTTCACAGGAAGGTATATTTTATTTGTGTATTTGTACACTGGCTAGAGTAGTGCAGGGTGTTCATAATTTATCTACTGATAAAGATACGTTTTAAACAATATGGAATAAGACAGGGGGGAAAAAAAAAAAGACAAGACTGACCAAATTTTATTCAGCACTTCAAGGAACTTTACATTAATATACTTCAGTAAGAGCACTATAAGTTCTTACAGAGGTTATCAAGCCTGTTCTGAATTTTGTTCTCAATGTTATTACGCATTCGAGTATTCAATATTGCAAATCTCTACAACATAAACTTGATTCTTCAGTTATTTGCAGTAAAGAAGTCAAGTGGTATGATGCTTAGAAAACGAGGTGGCCATGAAACTGTTCACCTCTACCAATCTAATGATTTGAGAACGTTTCATCATCATGGAGATCAAGAACATGTGTAACTCAATGACAGGGGTCTCATCCTGCTAAAAAAGTAGTTTGGCTGTATTTCTTCTCATAGTGGTACATCAAACAGTCTCAGCATATCAAACTAAAGGTCATAATTAATTGATGACATGAAGAAAAAGAAAGGACAAATCACTTTGTTATGAGTTAGTGCACATCAAATGTTATTTTAGGGCTAATTCACTGAATTTTCCTAACACAATGCATATTTTTCTGACTCTCAAAATCCTGTAATTAAGTCAATTAACCTCTCTTGAAACATGAAATGCTGCTTTGTCACTGAATAGGATTTTCTAAAGAAATTGATCTCATTACTAATATGGTCAAGAATATCTACAGAAAATTCTTCACGAATGACTCAAACACTAGGTTTGATTTGTTGTCAAATCTGCAGTTTATATGAGGACAGTTTCAACAATTCAAGAACGTTTTCATAAACATTCAACCTGGGAATTCCTGTTTGTAGTCAGGCAAATGGATTTACTGAGACTGCACATAAACATATTTCGAATAGTGAAAACATTTTCATCACTGACTTTTGGTCTACCTGTATCTGCTTTATGAAAACATGTTCGGTTTGTCCAAACTGTTTTAACTGTCTTTTAATTGTCCCACTAGTGGAATCAGTAATCATTAAATTCATGTTGGAATCACCTCTGAACTGTTTTTGAAGATTTTATTTCCCATCACCAGAAAATGCACAATGCATTTTCACTGCATGATGCTATTTTGTCTGTAAACAAACAAGTTCCCCATTGCCATTCCCAAAAATTAGAACAAATGAAATTCCTTGAGCTAATGATTATATCAATATTAATTATTTCCGATGACTTCCGAAAATTGTTTCTTAATTTTGTTAATGTTGTGTTCAGTGATTAAATTATGGACACCCTGTATTTATAAGTTAATGGCATCAGTACTTAAGGTTCTAATTCTTTCTCCTTTATGTAAAAGGTATTTTGTTTCATATTCTATACTGCATTTTTTCACAAAAATCAAAACATTCAGTAAATATAGGCTGCTCCAATATATACCAATTCTCAACATTCCATTTCAAGAATTCTCTTTAGCTCGATGTATTTACCCCTAGATAATGATGTACCTATCTATCTATTTGCCACAAAACACATTTTTAAGTTACTGAGTATCAGAATTGAAAGCCTTGAAAACTAACATAAAAAATAACATTTTTCAATTTTATAAGATTATAAAAGATACTTTTACCTCTTTCTTGAGGAGTGAGTGATGAAGTAGCTTTCTGCAAATCAAATAAATACTGGAAATATGCTAACTGTGTATAAAGTTGAGCTTCAGTGTACTAGATATATAAAAAGCTTAAATTAAACAAAGTACACCATGTGGACTAAATTATAATTAAAATTAAATTATAGTCACACTTATAGTTTGAATCGCACAAAAATCTTCACACTTATTTAACTTTTTAATTAAATTCAGTAAAAATTACAAAAGAATTAAATTTGAAATTTTAACTTAAAACAAAGAACGAAACCTTAAATATTATACTAACTTCTAACCGCAAATTGGAATTCTTGCATGAAGGACAAACTGGACCACCACTTGTAAAATGCAGAGGTATTTTCCTAGTTTGATAAGCACACCCAACATCCTCACATATTAGACTATGCTGTTAAATTTAAATATATATATATTATGCAGCAGATGTAAACATAAATATGTATATTTCTAATTATGCAATGATAATGAGTTTACCATTACCTTGTAATATTTTGATATATAAGACCTCATGATACGATCCAGTTGATTTTTAAGGGCAGCACAATAATGTATGAGCTTAGTTTTACAAGTCAAACATTCACCTATTTGACATATCTTAATGTTATCCTAAAACATACAAATAAAAAAATAGTAAGCCATTGTGTAATATATTGTATTATACACTAAATAAATACTTCCATCTCAATATACTTAATAAAGCCTCTCAGTATATTTGTTTTGAGGTATTGATAATATGCACTTAAGATAACTGAATTTTATGAATATTTTTATTTATATCATAAACTTAAAATACATTTATGCTACAAAAATCATGGATGCTTCTTTATTATTACAGCTCCTGTTTTCAAAATGCACTTTAGTGTGGCTGCCATGTTTCTGCAATTGATTTTCATAATGGGATCAGATGCAGTTTCTTAACCCAAGAACTTTTACCACACGAAGGTAAGATTCATGATGATGTGAAAACATGCCCCATTGATTTTTACTCCCCTACTTAATAGTGCATCATAGACTTTCAACATTTTGTGTATTGGCAGCTGTTATTGTATCAATAAAATGAAATATATGGTTAACAGTAAAATGTCTTCAATCGGCTTTTCCCAGTTCCGTTTTATATGCTTGTCAACAGACTGAATAACTCATTAATTCCTCTTTTACATGGTCGACGATTATCGGCCCTCTATTTAGAACCTGAGAGAGAAAGAGTTCATGCCAGTTTCTCAGCATATATCTGATAAATACCGAGTGTTGTGGAAGAGCTCGGCCAGCTTTGTTTTTTCTTTGTACAAACAAATTTTCATTTACGATGACAATATTATCAGGAAACCCATTTACTTATTTGGTTATCATGTTAGATGTAGAGAATACAGCTCTCTCAGAAAACTGTTCCAGTCAACAGTTGTATTTTTATACTTTTTCCGCAACTTAATCGATATCAATTCCTCTGTTCAACAGTAAATAAAATTGTTGCACCTTTATACACATATTCCCAAACCCCTGAACTAGATGTCAAAATATTTCCTTTCAGTAACAAATCATGTTGCATACCAAATGCTTTCACTGATATGTAGATCTATTTAATGGCCATTTTCATATATTTAAATGTAAGGTAAAATGCATCTTCCTAGGAAGAAAGATTTCATCTCTCGCACTTCTCAGTAAACCAAACATTTTAAACATTTTTTTTTTTTTTTTTTTGAAAAAGAAAAGATGAACAACTTATAAATAATTGTCATTATGACTAATAGCCAATTTATTGATAATCTTGATGCCATAATGCTAATTAATAATCTAGGAATATAATGTCTTAAACTGCAAAAATCAAGTTATTTATGTATGCACTGTGTGTTTTACTTAGGTTATTATCCCCAGCATCAGTCAATAAACTTACTTTCAAGCAGATTTTTGTTTTGATTGTTCTGTTAAAAAATTAGTGTTGAATAGGTTCAAAGCACTCCAAGTGATTTTGAGACAAAGTACTGTATTCTAGCAGAAATTTTACCACGATTTCTTCCACTGCAGGCAAATTCCACAAGTTCGTACTTTAAAATTATGTTTAAGACAAAAAAATTTTAAATAAAATAAGCTTTTATTTAAATCTTATCGAAATTATTAATGAATTAAAACAAGATAAAAATAATAATTTATTTTTTTCATCTACACATCCCTGAAACTCATTCAGAAATATTTCACAGTACACATCTGATTATTGTTGAAATCTCAGTGCAAATATCTCAGTTTTTTTAACTGTTCCTATGTTTAACAACTTAAGATGTCAGGTAACCCCAAAGAAAGAAAAATATTATCAGGCTGAATGTCATAACATTGCACGGTCAACTCATGCACCATTTATCCCCTTGTGATTATTTTCTTTGGCAAAAACAAGATGAAGTTTTCAAACATGGGCTGCAGACAACTGAGAATGGAAAGATGTGCATACTCAGGTGGCAATAACAGACACAGTGGACTTCAAGTGAAGCTTTAGGAGTGTATAGTTTGAGACAGCAAGCACACAAACATTATTTACCTGTAAAGGACAGCACAGAGAAAATGGTAATCATTCGATATATTAGTAAAATAAAATGTGGAATAGGATCTGTCTTTCTACTGCTGTTTTAAACTGAAATATCCTTCCGCGAGACGCTGCATATGTATAAATGTTCAATGTTATTATTACTATCGTAGTTAACATTTACTGATCCTAACTAACAGCTGCAATTTTATAAAAACTTTAATAATTTGTTTTGTTATTCATGTTTTTCCACAGAACATTAAAAAATTTTTATTTGCATATGTATGATTTTTCACCCAAATGAATATATAATTTCAAAATTTAAAAAAGAAGGGGGGAAAAGAGAAAAAGAAAATTTGCTAATAAATATTACTGAAATACTTAATAACAAGGAAATAAATAGTGAAATATTTAATAATATTAAGATTGATAATATCAAAATGCTTCATAACACAGCCTATAATTTATTGATCTGATAAAGATGTCTTAAATAATACAGAATAAGAAATAGGGAAAAAATACCACTGAATTTTATTTAGCACTTCAAAGAACTTTATATTAGTACACAGTTTAATTATATTTAATTGATTGTTTAACATGAGCATCATCAACTGTTTGGAGAATATCAAATCTTTTTTTTTGGGGGGGATGGTAGTAAACATTTGTGGAGTCACAGTAGCTGTTTCTGTGGTGATTTGAATTTTTAACTTTTTGATGCTCTGAATATCTGCAGCATAAACTCAATTCTTCAAGTATCCCCAGAAAAAAAAATCGAGTGGTATGATGTCTGGAGAACGAGATGGTCATGAAATTGGCCCACCTTTTCCAATCTAATAATCTGGGAATATTTCTTCAAGGAAATCACACACATGTGTAGCCCAATGACAAAAGGCCACCATGCAGTTGAAAAGTTTTTGGCAGCATTTCTTCTAGTTGCAGTACAGTAAACAATCTCAGTATATCGAAGTTAACATCAAAATTAATAAATGACTTGAAGAAAAAGAAGGAACTAATCACTTTGTTATGAGTTAGTGCACATGAAATGTTATTTTAGGGCTCACTCACTCAATTTCCCTAATACAATACAGATTTTTCTGATTCCCAAATCATGCAGTTAAGTCAATTAACCTCACATGAAACATGACATGTTGCCTTGTCATTAAATATGATTCTCTGAACAACTTGATCTTATTACTGATATGGTCAAGAATATCTACAGGAAATTCCTCACAGGTGATTCAACCACTAGGTTTGATTTGTTGACAAATCTGCATTTTATACGAAGCCAGTTTCAACAATTCAAGAACACTTTCATAAACAGTCAACCTCAGAATTCCTATTAGTAGTCTGGCACGGTAAATGGATTTACCGGGACTGCACATATTAGGGAAACACATCCGAAATGGCAGAAATATTTTCATTACTGAAGCTTGACCTACTACCTGCTTTATGCAAAACAGGTCTGGTTCCTTAAAACTCTTTTAATTGATTGTTCTATTGGTGGAGGTTTATTAAATTGATGTCAGAATCACTCCTGAAATGTTTCAAATGCAAATGTGTGGGCTGACATACTAGGCAATCGCAAATTAGATCATATATGCTGTCTGAACGGCTCAGGAGACATTGATATTCAGTATTTCTCCATGATGTATTCACCTATTTCCTAGCTAGATGATTTACTTTTAATGACGATACGATGTTCCAACGTAATGAAGCTCTGACAATTTCAGTGCTTTTGTATGTGACTGAATGACTGCCAGATATGGATTACCCAGACTGCTGAATTGGATACAGAGGCTCGGTTTTAAGGTTCCCATGATTGCCAGATGAAACTTTTGGATTTCTTACTATGGGACTATCTCTGAAGGAATTTTATCAATATTTCATAACAACATGTACAGGTAGAAGCTAGGCCAGCACCTCCATAGTACCACAGGTAATTGAGGTATTGCTGAACCTAGCTAACTGTTAAACTTTCCACTCCAATTTTGAGGGAGAACACCCTGGAGGGTGGTCAGGGGATCTCCCGCCCCTCTTTTTTTTACAATGAACCCCTTGAAAGGACTTTCTGAGATCACTGACTTCTAGTATTAATAGTATACACAAATCATACTGAGAAAAGACTGTCTTTGAAAACTTCAAAAACTGATGCTTCCAAAAGTTTAAATGTATGAAGAAATGTCCTTTCTAAGGTGGAAGGTGTAATACGCAAGTCTTTGGAGCTCTCGTCCATCAGCATTGCGTAGAAAAATGAAAGTATTGGAACACTAAATTTAAATAAATATATTTTAGTAATATATGGAGATGCATAAGCATTATATATGACAAATATCCAGTCCTAAGTCTTTGGATATGTATAAGAACGTCTCTGATTTTGGTTTTAAGGTGTCTGTTCTTTATTGCGTATTTCTTAAATGGTATTAGATTGTTGTTAAGCTTAATCAGATGTTTACCATCTGTTAGATTACAGTCAAAAATGTAATGCTCAGGGTCACCCCTTTCACCACATATGCAGAGATCTATTAGTTGCCTTGTCTTCAGGTTGTGTATACTTGGCAGATATCATGCGGCTGGAACATGTGCAGTCATTCATTCTATGGCGCATGCATGAATGCATCAATATGTGCAGTGGACAATTTGAACATCTTCCTATGTAAACATAATGCAAGTACTGATGTTCATGTTTAGAATAAGTCCCCCCCCCTCACTCGCACCAAACATAATGACATACTTTTCTTTCATATTTATCTCAAAAACTATAAGTCATACAGATACAGCTCTTTGGGCATTTTTTTATGTATTCCAAGTGAGAACTTGGCTGTGTAAATTTGGGGAATCTTGATAAGATAACCTGTTTACATCTATTATACTTATCATTTTGCTGATCAACATTATCTACATGATTATGACTGAAATTTAAATTACAGAAAGTCAAAAAAGGATTCTCAGCCATTATTTTAAAGGATTTGTAAAAATAACACAAACCTGCATTCGAAAGACATCATCAATAATGATTTCTTGTGAACATTGTTGAGCAGGACATTTAAATTTAAGCTTATCACAGTCTCTAAAACGATCTTGATCATCAAATAAAGATGATGGATTAAGAAGCTTATCTTCTTCTTCTTCAACAACTCGAAGAGCAGAATGATACTTTGAAGCATCTAAGCCTATAAGAGAAATGGATACAAATTCATAGTGCAGACTGTGAAGAAATTGCCATTCATGTGTATAAGATATTTAAGAAAAGGAAGACAATTTTTTTTAAATTTCAGAGATTTGTGAGTTTCCCGTCAAAAATAAATAAATAAAATCATCATTCTTTACAGATGGATCCGTTTTGGCACACACATATGCAAAATATCAAGGGGAGAAAGACATGCACAGATCAAAAGCAAGGGAACATACCGAGCAATTCAGCTATCATTGCAACATCAGTCCCTTCAATTGGAGCACATAAACGTGATACAACTGGATGAATTTGCTGAGCCAAATAATAGAATACATCTAAGAGAAGTGAATAATTTTCAATTAATGAATCATGATGCATTCCACTAAATAAATTAAAAATCAGATACTATATAAATTACTAACATAAAGTACAGTCAAAAGTCTTTAATCCGGACTCGTCGGGACTTCGGCGATTCCGGATTATAGATCATCAGTTTAAATCTGGTATGATGGCATGCAGAAATTATAAAATTAAAAATATGAAACCGTAATTTATAAAATAATGAGCAATTATGATCTAAAGGGTATCAAAATTTACCAAAAAAGAAGCCTAATATTTATTTGTTACTTTATTAAACATTTCTTTCAACGCGCGGATGCGTAAAGCATACCTTACGCATAGCCGAAATTAGAAAATTGCAACCAGAAAACTATTTGATTTGTATTCGTGATATTTATAATGAGGAGGAATTTGATTTAAATCATATCAAAGACGGAGTACACTGAAATTAAATACTACATTTAGTAAGGAATTATAAGCCGAATAAAATAAAAACATCTGCCCTGAAGATAACGATAGTGTTGAAAAATCAACTTCCAGTTCATTGCGCGCCGTGACGTCGCCCCCCCCCCCGCGCAGAGCAGCGTGAAATTGATAAACAAAGAATATGCCTTTATCCATTTTTGGTAGCAATTCGTTTTTTGTTTGATGGACATCGAAACATACTTTCGTTTTCTAGATCCTTTGGGAGCTCCAGCATCGGAAATTCTATTTGACATAATCGAAAGTTCAAGCTTACTTTTAGAAAATTGCTCTTACAGTCTGCAAAAAATAATAAGCCGGATCCAATTCGAAGATTAAGAAACAACACAATCATCAACATTAACTGAAATAGATAATTAGATAATTTTAGCTTATACCGTCCGTTATATATTAAACGCTCACGCGAAAACGTAGTGTGCACTTGTGCAGACGCATATGCGCAGTCGTAAATGTCTTGCGCGCACGAGTAAAACGCCTATGCGCATGCGTCAATGCGGCGCATGCGCAGAAATATTTTAGCTTTGAGGTCCGGATTATAGATCATTCCGGATTATGGGTGTCAGAATTAACGACTTTTGACTGTAATACATTTTTTACATGTATGAAAGCAAAAGCTTTAACTGAAATGGAAAAATGACTTATTAAAAATTAGAACCCATACAATTACAACATTCTTCAGTTTTAGATTTAAAAATATCTTCAGAAGATGAATAACTATTAATAATATTGATGTTGAATCTTAAAACTCACCAATTTTCAGTGTTTCATGTGCTTTTAGTTCATCTGGATGGTATGCTCTTTGGGTAGCAGGTAAATCAGAGCCATCCTAATTAATTAAAAACAAAGACTAAAAATCAACTATATCATTATTTGCATCTTCATAAAGGAAAAGTTCTGCGAAATTACAGTACATTCTGATACAATATTACAGAATACAGAAAACTCACTTCTGTCTGACAAAATTTGAAATCAGATGCTATTTTTTCATGAAAAGAAAGACAAAAATTCACTTACAAAATAGGAAATACTGCGAATTCTAAGGCCATAAATTCTTTCATTTGTCTTCCATATTAAAAGTACATTGCTCATTAGCAAAACAAACTAAATCATTTAAAAATAATATATACATTTGTTCACTGTCCTGGCTGCTTGTAGATGAACATTACTAAACTTTCAAAATAGTTGCTCCTGTCATCTAATATACGTAGTCTTAAAATGACAAATAAAATAAATTAATGATGTTATACATACTTAACTATCTAAAAAAATATATGATGGAAGCTTTTGCAGATAGTCTATTATTTCTTCATTTGGAGTCTGACAAATGTGATCACATGTTCATATCCTTTTAGGGCTGCTACATTCTTTGTGGTTCTATGCAAGGTTGCCATATGTTTCACAATGGATGTACAGGAGACCAAAAGATCATTCTGTGTTGCCACATGATCTTGTGTAACTTTCAATAGCTTATTTTATTTTATCAGCTGAAATTTGAATAGTTTCTCTTACTTTTTCTTACTGAAATTTTATATATGTGTGTAAAATGAAAAAATACAAAGTAAAAAGCAGTTTAAAACTTAATCTAATTGCATGTTGAAACCAGCAATACGTAAGGGTAATAATGTAAGATAAATTAAAAAATAATACATTTAAAAATTCCTCCTATATTCAGTTCGGAATAAACATCTGTAAAAATTAAATGCCAGAAGCACAATGGCAAAATACAAGGGATAGGGAGGGGAGAGGAACATGCCAAAACCAAAAATGAAGAAATTTACATATTTTGCGGCATCGTGATCGTGGGGGCCCACCAGCGGCCGAGCAGTAAAGTCGCTGAACACTGGTAGTTCGGTCCGAGGTTCGAATCCCGCGAACGGACTGGATGCATGGGCGTTTTTGTGGTTTTCCCCATGTGTAACGTGTATACGAGCCAGTTTCCCTTAGAAAGTCCTCCACGAAAGGCATCCCTCCCCTTAGGCAGATAGCCCTAGTGTGCTTTGCCATAATTAAATACACCATGATTGTGGGAGATGCAGCAAAAGGAGGAATTGTAGAATTTACTAATGTTTTTGCATACATTAGATTGCTTGTATTTGAAAGTGGGGTTTTTTTGGAGCGGGGGGGACTTTGATCAAAATAATATTTTTATGTTTTTAATTTGTTTATATTTTTTATGCTATAATTTTGCAAATGTTTGTACTGCTTACTTTGGACTTTACTGCTCGGCCGCTGGTGGGCCCCCACAATCACGATGCCGCAAAATATGTAAATTTCTTCATTTTTGGTTTTGGCATGTACATAGTAGTATTTATAATAAAAATGCACATAGTAGTATTTATAATAAAAATTTATTTAATCTGATTGGCTAAGATTTCATTGCACTGCAGGTATGATTACATAACTGAACTAATTTTGAAAGATGCATTCTAGAAAAAGTTATCACTATTTTTAGAGCAGAGAGGAGAAGTTCCTAAATTAAAAAGGAGAATTAATGGGCTATTGCTAGTTTAAAGAATAATTTATAGTTACATATTTTTAATGTACATCTATCTGCATCCTTATACAGTCAAAAGTCGTTAATCTGGACACCCATTATTCGGAATGATCTATAACACGGACCTCAAAGCTACAAACTTTCTGCACATGCATCAACGCATGTGCATATGCGTGTGTACATAATACGTTTACGCATGCACGTTTAATGTATAATGGATGGTATAAGCTAAGCTAAAATTATCTAATTATCTATTTCAGCTAATGTTGCAGATTGCATTGTTCCTTAATCTTCGAATTGGATCCGGCTTATTATTTTTTGCAGACTGTTAGAGCAATTTTATAAAAGTAAGCTTGAACTTTCGATTATGTCAAATAAAATTTCCGATGCTGGAGCTGCCAAAGAACCTGCAAAGCGAATGTCCATTAAACAAAAAGTGGAACTGCTGCAAAAAATGCATAAAGGCATGAAGAAAGTGACAGAGAGGTGATTTGTTTCTCTAATCATTCCGAAATCTGTTTATCAATTTCACGCTGCCCTGCGGAAGGGGGGGCGTGCAATGAACTGGAAGTTGATCTGTCAGCACTATCCTTATCTTCAGGGTAGATGTTTTTATTTTATTCGGCTTATAATTCCTTACTAAATGTAGTATTTCATCTCGATGTACTCCGTCTTTGATATGATTTAAATCAAATTCCTCGTCATTATAAATATCAGGAAAACACATCAAATAGTTTTCTGGTTAAAATTTTCTAAATTCGACAATGCGTAATGTATGCTTTACGCATGTGCGCGTTGAAAGAAATGTTTAATAAAGTAAACAAATAAATATTAACCTTTTTTTTTTTTTTTTTTGTAAATTTTGATATCCTTTAGATCATAATTGCTCTTTATTTCATAAATTACGGTTTCATATTTTTAATTTTATAACTTCTGCATGCCATCTTACCAGATTTAAACCGATGATCTATAATCTGGAATCGCCGAAGTCCCGACGAGTCCGGATTCAAGACTTTTGACTGTATATGTAATGAAGCAAACTTAGATGTAATGGATGTAGAAGCACTGATAGTATAGAATGTAGAATGTTGAATCTGTAATGAACAGCAAACTTGGCAGCCAAGGCAAATTAAACATTCATCTTTATTTCCATTCACATTTACAGCCACAATTCACTTGGCATTCTAATTGTGCCTATTCAAGTACATTTTTGATACTATTGAGAGAGGAAGAAAAGTAGCACACCAGCATCTTAAAGGCAAGAGAGCCAGAAGCAAAAGTGCGTGGTTAATCAATATGGAAGCTCATCAAGAGAAAGTTTTGGTTCTCGAAATTTTGAGTTCAGGTTCCAAATTAGCAACATATCAGTGTTATGTAAGTCATATGACATGTACTGAGAAATTATGCAGTCCAGAAAAAGTTATTCTTGTTTTTAGAATACACAGATGAAATACCCAAATTAGAAATAAGGAATTAATAGGCTATTGCTAATTTAAACTATAATTTTGATTTACACATTCTTTTATCTCACATATTTATATATAAAGCGTGTTTTTAAAACAAGAGAAGACATTGAAATTTACATGATCACTCTGCAGTTCAAGTTTAAAACATTCTCCTTTTTATGTTTATTGAAATATAAAGAAAATAATGATTCAGCATAAAGTAAAATGCGGTGCAATGAAAAGAATAAAAAATAGGATCATTTTCTAAGGAAGGAGAAAATTTTTTTATAAAACTTCATTGAAGTATTTTACATAAAATGAATTACACACTAACCAGCTTTACTTTTTAAAGTTTTAAAGTTACTTTTAAAAGAATTTTCATGTTTTTAAACAACAATAATAATAAATCAATACTTTGCTTACACCTAGTAGTAAAGTTTTTCCGTGTTAAGAATCTTTATGCTATTACTGACATTATGTTCAATACATGCACAACTGGATTCATATTAATTGGCTTGGTTTATTTAATTATGGCAAAGCACTCGAGGGCTATCTGCTTAACGGAAAGGATAACTTTGTGGAGGACTTTCTAGAGGAAACTGGCTCGTAAACACGTAATACATGAGGAAAATCACGAAAATGGCCATGCAGCCAACCCATTTTCATGTTTTTAAACAACAATAATAATAAATCAATACTTTGCTTACACCTAGTAGTAAAGTTTTTCCGTGTTAAGAATCTTTATGCTATTACTGACATTATGTTCAATACATGCACAACTGGATTCATATTAATTGGCTTGGTTTATTTAATTATGGCAAAGCACTCGAGGGCTATCTGCTTAACGGAAAGGATAACTTTGTGGAGGACTTTCTAGAGGAAACTGGCTCGTAAACACGTAATACATGAGGAAAATCACGAAAATGGCCATGCAGCCAACCCATTCGCAGGGATTCGAACACAGATCACTTGGCTGCTGGTAGGCTCAGTTTCATATTATTAGAAATTAACAGAAAATTACAAAACGAAAATTTCGGATTTAGTAAAAGAAAATATGTCTAGATTTTAGTTTCCTTTTCCTTATTATGTTTTCCTTTTTACATACTATGAGAATGTTCTGAAGTGTTATTATTAGGAATTCATCCCTATTTGCAGTTGATGTAAATAAACTTGCTCGTGAACACAAAATGTGAACAAATTAGCTATGAGGCTCAGCTATGCATGTAAGTCTTTAAATAAAGTAAAATAAATAAATAATAGACCTTTATAAAAGTTAACCACATAAACTTAAAATTCGTTTTCTAAGAGTATACACAAAAAGAGATTTATTAAAAAAATATAGATTGTTAGTTTCTGCTTATGATCTGTAATTATAATAAAAATTGTTTCTTTACATCAAAATACGAGGGCCATCCAGGAAGTAGATTACGTTTCCGTCTGTGTCCGCTAGGGGCGGGGCTAGCGCGGCCATCTTGGGGTCAGAGCGTTGCGCAGCTCAGTCTGCATCTAGCCGTGCTAGTGAGAGGTTCGTGCTGTGCTCCGTTCAGATACTGTGACGGTTTGAAATGTCTGCGTTAATTGAAAATCCCGCGAGGTGCGCTCAGTAATAAGGTTTCTGACTGCAAAAAACTGTAAACCGATAGAAATCTATCGGCAGCTTCGTGAAGTGTATGGGGACAACATTATCACTGAAGGTGGAGTGCGTCAGTGGGTCATAAGATTTCAAAATGGGGCCGAACCAATGTTCACGACGAAGATCGAAGTGGGAGACCCAGCATAGTGACCGCCGAACTTCTCGAAAAAGTCGATGCTAAAGTCCGTGAAAATCGAAATTTCACAATAACGGAACTTTCTTTGAGTTTTCCACAAATTTCGCGAAGTTTGTTGCACGAAATCATCAGCGAAAAGCTTGGTTACCACAAGTTTTGTGCAAGATGGATTCCAAAAATCTTGACAGAGGACCACAAAAATCAGCGAATGGCTGCAGCGTTGAACTTTTTGGACGCTTACCATAAGGATGGTGACTCTTTACTCGATCGCATCGTTACTGGTGACGAAACATGGGTGAAACATGTGAACTGTGAAACGAAATTGCAATCAATGCAGTGGGGGCACACAAGTTCTCCCCAAAAACCCAAGAAATGCATGCAAACAATGTCGGCAAGGAAGATGATGGCGACTGTTTTTGGGACAGAAAAGGTGTAATTTTGGTGGACTTCCTGGAAAGAGGCACTACAATAAACTCTCAAAGGTATTGCCAAACTCTCCAAAAACTCAGAAGAGCAATTCAAAACAAGCGCAGAGGAATGTTGAGCTCTAAGATCTTGTTGATTCACGACAACGCCCGGCCCCACACGGCAAATGTCACTCTCGTAAGTTCTTGAATCTTTTAAGTGGGAGTTGTTCCTCCTTTCCTCCTCATCCGCCGTACAGTCCCGACCTGGCACCGAGCGACTTCCACCTATTCCCAGCAATGAAGAAGTGGCTGGCTATGCAGCGTTTTGATGACGACGCACAGCTGCAAGAAGAGGTAACGAAGTGGTTGAAGGCGCAGGCGGCCGAATTTTTCGACGAAGGAATTTCCAAGCTCGTACATCGCTACGATAAATGCCTTAATTTGTATGGTGACTATGTAGAAAAGTAGTATTTGAGTGTGGCTTTCATCTGTATATAATAAAATTTGTTTCCTATACTTTGTTTATTTTTTTATTCCAAAACGTAATCTACTTTCTGGATAGCCCTCGTATGTTTTATAAAACCACTGTCATTAACATTTTGACACACCTAAAACTTATAATTTACTCAGTTCAGTAATGGAATGAATATTAAATATCCTTTTATATTGTGTTTTTAAAAACAAATTATTATGCTACCATGCATTTATCATCCACATAACTTGGTAAGTGTTTTGGTTATATGCCCAAAATACCTTTATCTTCCATACAGTTAGTTCTCAGAATCGTACACAAAAGCCTGATTTTTAATTCATCTTTCAGATTTGTTATTGCGTGAAGGATTAGAAGGTCACAAACGTAGTTCTTAATTAATTAAATCTTTATTTTTTTAATAATGTCCCTAATTGATATAATTTATATTTAATTAATAATATATATCCAATTCGTAATTTTTATGAACATATGCAGCATTATTATAATTAATAAGAGATAGTTCTAATATTGTATTATGTACACAATGTAGAAGGTTCTTTTTACCATTTTTCTCTGCCATCCTGTTTCTTTAAAAATATATTTTATTAGTGTTTTAAGACAGCATTTTCGTGAAAAAGGCATTTGCTGTACATTTTGTTATCCCTTGCTTCTATTTTTTTTACATGAGTTAGTAATAAATAAATAAGTAAATAAATAAATGGATAAATATAATTAAAAAAATAAACATTCTGTTTATTGCAATAAAAGCTTAGTAAAATAAAGCTTAGTACTAATCTATGAAATATACAAAGATCAAAAATCCATGTAAAGTGACAATAAAAAGCTCTTATATTTACATTTTAAACTTTTTATTAATTAATGAAAAATAAAAAATGCCTACTTACCAAACATATGATATACGCAACTGTGTCGCCCATTCTCAATTTTTTCCCACCTTTTTCATTGACTCTCACTGCTACAGTCACATGTGGCAGGTTTTTTTTGTTAGAATAATCTTCAGGATTTTTCGTCAGTTGCTGCAGTTATCAAAAACAAAAACTTCAGAATTACATGAACCCTTCTTTTACTTAAATAATATTAAAAAAGCTATAATATTTTAAGGTATTAAATGCCTGATCAAAAAAATGTAATTTTCATTCAATAGGAACTAACTGAAGTTTATAGTATGCTTAGAATGGTATTAGTTTCGATATTCTTTGCTACTGTCACAGAGAATGGAAAGAAGTGAATTTCTCAACAAGATTGTGGCAAGTAGTTTAGAAAAATGAAAACCAAAGGTTGGAGCTGTGAAACAAAAGGCTGATGACAATAATGTTTGGAACTAAAAAAGGAGTACTACTGATGAAGAATTTCTTATGCACACAAGAAAATCTTATTGTGAAACTCTCAAGTGTGTGTTTTCCAGGGTGTGCGTTGTACTAAATCATTCACAATAAAAATGAAATACTGATGTCTGAAATTATGTTTTTGCACAAGAGTATATGCTTTTATTTAGCTAGTAAAATGAATGCAAGCATTTCTGTATTAATATCCATAGAACTTGTTTGATCATTCATATAACACAGCCTAAAACTTCTTCACATAAATTTATATCTTTTTTCATAGATTAATAGATAGGTAATTAAGAGAATTTCAAAGAATGCTGCTTGTAAGAAGCAGCATTCTTTGAAAAAGATTTATAGAAATGCACACTATATTCGATCAAGTACTGATGAGTATGCCAAGTAGTAAGTAGCACTGGCATAAATTATGTTTGTTTTAAATATAATGCACGTGATTAGAAACAATATTCTACTGTTACAAGTCATAACAAATGACGACTTTTAAAGTAGATTCTTCTTCAAACATTTTGCCTAGTTGATTCTATTTACTTTATTCTACATTCTGACCTTTTACAATGAAGTTTTGCAAAATTTGTGTTTTTAACATTTTTTCTAAAGCTCCCAATTTATATATCATTTACAAGTAAGTATACACCCAAATTAAGATACAAGTAAGTTTACAAGTTCCCTAGGATCACATTATCCAAATCAAACAGTTATTTCATAATATTATTACAAAATGCATAACTGCAGTAAAATAGCTTACTTTTATAAGCATAATACTTCTAATAATCTTATTTTTCTTCAGTCATTGACTGCAGTGGCAAGCCTTTCCAAGTACAGGGAAATTTCTGTTACTGAATTATCATTAAACATTCCAAAGCTCATTTGTAACACTGTCAGGCATGTAGCTTCCTTCCAGATTAGAAATAAACATAAAAGCCTTAAACTGAGCCCCATTTGTTTAGGATGGGAAAATAATTTTCTACCAAAATAATAACGACATTAAACTTGAATATATTTATTTGACAAACGTAACATAAACATTTATTCTGTGAAAACTGAGCAGGATAAACCAGCAGAAATAACATTTCAAAATAATACTAATAACGTAATTGAAGTCGAGAGGCAATACTCTGGAGAGAAAATAATGCAAATAATAAATATGTAACAACTTCAAATTTTTCCCAGATGATACATACTGATGACACTGCACCAAAGAGGGTGTATGTTCTTTGGTGAACAATGCATATTCTTCGACTGCACTAGGAATAAGGGTTAGGGCTGCCAGAAAGTGGCAAGGAAAGGCAGGGTTGCCAGATGTAGCATAAAATCACTCATTCAGCAACATAATATACTGAGCGAGAACATCTAGAACGAATTCTGACCGGTTTTCATAAGAATTCTCTCGAAAGCAGGTCGAAAGCTACACATAGCATAGCTGTACGTGAAGTAAGAGAGTATGTTCAGTTCAGATATTAGTTCGAGAGCAATTGACTGAGTCAGGAGCTGTACTTTAGTGATTTGCCGTGAAGCTGTCTTCATTGTTATAGCCTGACGGCTGTGTTGCTGATTGTTTCAGAGTGTTTGTCGTAGTTTTTATATCACTGTAACCCATCTTTGGAACTGTCTTTGTAACACTGATGAATAAATTGAGTTTTGATTCTTCACTAAATGTTGTCATCAATCACTCCAAATCCACAAACCCATAGAATGCAACAATATTCTTAGATAATAACATAAGCCACTTTAAACTTATATATATAATTCTTCCAAGCCTAATATACCTATACATATAAACAGATATTTACTTTATAGATAATATAATCAGACAGGGGCTTCCTTCCTTCTTTAACTGCTTCACCAAGAGATTTGAGATGAGAATGAATGTTTCCAATGATTTCATCTTTTGATTTAGTGGACAAAATTTCTTTTATAACATACCTGTATAGAGCAGAAAAGAAGAGTATGTAATACTTGTTAAATAATTGGAAAAAAAAAAAAAAGATATATAAATATCATGTGCATATTTAACTTAAAAAAAAAAAAAGAAGAAAGAGCAGGAGGGGGAAGAATGATTGAAGTTACTACATTATTTTTTTTAAAAAGGGGGGAGTATTTTTAAAAACATCATTAACTTTATTTCAAAGGAAACTAAATACATACTGTCCTGCATCTTTGGCTAATTGAGACCAATCTCTTCTAACGATGTCCAGACCTTTAATTTCCTCTTTAGATACTATTTGACCATTGGCTAAGCGAGTTATGGACAGAGCAGCATATTTTTTTTTCTTCAGTAATAGCATTGGCTTGTACACACCATCAATATCAATTTCAAGAAGACGATAAAGTTTGTTAATTTCAGTTTTAACCTGAAATGACAAATATAGTATTACATATAACAGTTTTAAATACAGAAATAAGCTTTCTTTTTATAAAAAAACTTTTCCCAAATATCTTTTCTTAACATAATGAAATTTGTACAGGAAAAGCAAGACTGCCCATATATGCATAAAACACATATCTAAATCTTAAACAAATATAAATGATAAATTATGAATTTAAATTTGAGAGGGGAGAGAACTTAAAGAAAGAAAATAGAAAGAGTGCCAATGAGGGTATTCCATTAGCTTTTTGAAATTGTGCACTTTACATACCTTGTAGCCAACCAATCTTCATAAAATTATACTGGCTATATCTTAGATTCAAAAAGTTTCTCACATTTTATGCAGCATTTACCTCAAATTCCTTCTACAGTGTGAAAAGCAGAAATTACTGAATCCATTTTCACTCATACATATCTCAGAAAACTTTTAATACCACATACAAAAGTCACCACTCTTTTAATCCTAGCCATTTTGCACAAGAAAAATCCCCATTTGCCTTCTGAAGTTTGTACTGCATGTATACAGCCCTATAGTGAATATTTTACAGCAGCTGCAACACAGCTACAAGAAATTAATTTACTCTTCTTACTATGAATTCCAAACCACTTGATAAGATGTAATCTACTACCATGGCACTTTGCATCAGTATTTTGCCCTGTATAAAAGTATTTGATTTACTGAAAGATGAGGATTACAAAAGTGATTGTTGTGTCACTGTTTACTGTATTAACAAGTGAATAAGGAACAACTAAATTTCACAACTTTAAAAATTTATTAATTTTCACCTTTTATACATAATTTCCTTGGAGAACAAATGTGATAATACATGGAATTAAATGTCTGTTGAACCTGCATTCTCATGAGTTTTGATATTTTACAGATTATTTAAGTCATCATCACATTTTAAACCACAATCTAAATCTAATAATCTAATTATATTGATTCCTGCTCCCCCCAAAAATGTGAATGTTTACTTTTCAAGCTACAAGAAAATGTATTTTTATCTGAATACTGAAGCATAATAATCAGAAAGAATGCAAACAACTCAATTCAGCTTTTATCTTGACATCTTTAAAGTGTTAATGATAACTTTGTTTATTTATATTACAAGACGGTTACACATTTGAAGGAAAAAAGAGAGAAAAAATGATCTGACTTTCAAAATTTCAGCTTAATACTCTAAACTAACAATGCCTACTAATTAAATTAAGTGAAAATTAATTAAAAGCAGGATTTTACAGTATGGTGATATATCATACCCTTATGAAAAAGATGTTGTAAACAAGATAGTGAAAAGCCATACCCTATTTCCTAAGAGTGTAACTTCATCCAATTCTGTTTGATTTGTATTTATCATAATTGAATCAGTATCACCATATATTACATCAAGCCCCATCTATAAAGTGATATAATTTCTTATTAGATTACATTACTACACATGGAAAAAAAACTAAAGCACAAACTCTGTTAAAACATGCTAAAATATATTACTCAGAATGGTAGGAGATTTTTAATTCTACATACCTTTTCTACCAACTCTTTAGTTTTCAATAAAATCTAAAGAGAAGAAAACAATTGTTAATAACAAAAAAACATAGAATTTGGATATGTAACAACATTTTATAAGATATAAACAAAATTCAATTGGAAATAAATAATGTAAACAAGTTACTTATATTGGACCTGATCTGCATCATTAAATTGTAGATAAGGAAAATATTTTTAATAAATTATTGCTAGTTTTTTTAATAAACTGTATGATCAGTTTTTGTGGCAGATAACATATCTCTTAATTTTTCTGTTATTATAAAAGCAAAAATATTATAAAATGCAGATTTCAGAAAAAAATTATTAACAAGAAAATGCATGGATATATCACATAGAACTAATAATTGATGCATAATGATCAAAGAAGAAAAGGAAATAGGCATATATGAAAATGATGCATCGACTCCATAATTTTATCGTAGTATACATTCTTCTTTCCATTATTGTGAATAGACCTAGTGTGCTATATTCTACATTAATTTACAAATTCAAATGTTAAATTTATAAATCTGATTTGTAATGAATTAAATTATCTAAAAGTACCTAAGACAAAAGCCGTTGATAGAAAAAGTAAGTTAAAAGTAAAAAAGGCCTAAGATTGCCCTTGGCATTTTCAATGAAAATTGACATGCAATAAGCAGAAAGCTTTCATCTGCATTACTGTAATTAAAATAATCCATTGAAATAGATTAATATGATTTATTTTAACAGAGAGAATTACCTTTGTGTTATATGACATAATAATTATTATTTTTTTAAAAAAAGAGAGAGAGAGAAGGAGGGGAAGAGAAAGGAGAGAACTAGACAAAAAGTATGATACAGTAAATGCATAAACAACATATCACAAGATATATATTTTTTTCTATAAATTAAGACTAACAATTAAAACATCTAGATATTACACAGCCACATTTAAAATTTAGCAGAGTATTCTAAAAACTTACCTCTCGACCTTTACGGGTAATAAGAGCTGCCAATGGTTTAGCATAGAACCTTGAATGAGAGAAGCCAAGACACCCATACATACTGTTGGCAGTTAATTTTAAAGCCCTTTGCCTGATATCATACTGCAGTAGGAAAAAACATACAATTTATTTGTTATTATTTTAAAGAAGAATTGCACAGATGTAATAATATTACATTGTAATTATTACGTCCAACATAAAAGGATATTAGCACTTAAAAAGATCTGACAAAATTATGGCAATCTGAATTAATGAATCCGTGCTAATTATTGATACTGATAAGAGATATATAGGTCAATATATAAGAAAGTAGCCTAAAAATCAAAATTGCCATATAATTTATACAGAATCAAATGACAAACTGCTATTCAAAAAATGATAAAATCTTTAAACAATAAAATGAAGTTTTATCAAGGCAATGGGGGCGGGGAGAGAAAAAAAAACCTTCCTTAACATTTCCCTTTCTTATTCCTTTCACACGTTACTTCAGAACATCACAAAAAATATAAAAAATTAAAATCAATTATTAAGACAATCCCTCCAATTTTTATTAATTAGACAGCTTCAACAATTCCATAAAGTGGATATTTATGAAGAATTGTTTAAGAATTTTCTCAGAATGGAATGCAGACCAAAAACTTTTCATTACATCACCATTTCAGTGCAAAATATAGTCAAGATCAATGTAAAAAAATTAAGATGGGAATGAATAAGATTATTTAAAAAATGTTTAAAGTAAATTTTTAAAAAAGGAATTTTAATTGAAATCATTATACCTGCGCATAACGATCCTTTGTTACATCAGATGCCTTCATCATTTTCTTGACTTGTCGCCGACTCTCAACGAGTTTACGAATTTCAGCAGGTAATACACCAGTTTCTAGACCAGGATCTGGCAAGCTAACTTCAATCTCGGCCTAAATTAAAGAACAAGCCATTACTTCTATTTCTACTTGTGTATTAATAAAATGAATCATTAATTAACACATAAAAGAATGAGAAAATACTATCCTCAGTATTACATGTTAATTCAATAAACTATTAATTATAAAACTGTTATGTAGATAATAATTTTGCAAGATATAACAAAACCAAAATAAAGAAATGCAACAAGAAAATTGACATAAATTTAAAGCTAATTGCATTCTTCCCGCTCAACTAATTCCAAAATAAAAGATAAATTTGCTCCTTAGTCAGGATTTCTAAGTAACTCTAGAAGTTTTTCTTCATAACAAATACCTAGTAGAGTGCAAAACCTCTATTTTGTTCTTATCGGATATATGAAAAAAAAACTTGTTTTGAGCCCCAACTCTTTTCTTTCTTTTCACCATGATATTTTGTATAGAACTGTCACTTCTTCTACAGATGCTAGCAATAACAGCAGAATCTTGATAGTGTTGGACTGAATTCCTCTCCCTCCCCACCGAGGGGGGGGGAATGCAGTTAACATTAAATTTAAGTTTTATTTGAGTTAATTTTTAAGGTTTCATTTTTTATCTGGTTATAACCAGATAAAAATATATATAACTTTAATTGCTCTTTATTTCATAAATTATGGTTTCATATTTTTAATTTTATAATTTCTGCATGCATCTTACCACATTTACAGTGATGATCTATAATCCGGAAAAACCAATAATCTGAGATCACCAAAGTCCCGACAAGTCCGGATTAAAGACTTTTGACTGTATTAACGATATTTCTTGCTTTTCAAATTGTATTCAGACTGCTCTTGTATGAAATTCCTATTGCACTTCACATTTAGAAAATAGTTTTACCTTTCATATATTAGCTCGATGAAAAATTAGTCACCAATGAGTTCACAACTTTTTGGTGGGAGAATGGATAATCAGAAAGTACTATTTTTTTTTTAAATAAACTTTTATTTAAAACTCCTATAATAATTAATTCCTTTAAGGAAGAAAATAATTTATCATATAACTGCAAATTGAAAATTAGATTACATAAGTCTCTTCAAAAAATTCATATACGATTTATAGCACTAATAATAAAAGCACTGGAGCCCAAATAAAATCTATTAACGAGTGTCAAATTGCAATGTCAAAAGTATAAGACATTATCTTGATAAATTTAACATGGGTGCCCAACACTTTTATTATTTGTTAATTAAAATTTTGGACAAACTTTGTAAACAGAATTAAATCTTTTGTTCTCAAGAAATTATATAATTTATTTTTTTTTTCTTGTTTTAATTCCTTAATAATTTCTATAAGATTTAAATAAAAGCTTATTTTATTTTAAATTTTTTTTGTCTTAAACACAGTTTTAAAGTACGAACTTTTGGGATTTGCCTGCAGTGGAAGAAATCGTGGTAAAATTTTTGCTAGAATACAGTACTTTGTCTCAAAATCACTTGGAGTGCTTTGAACCTATTCAACACTAAGTTTTCAACAGAACAATCAAAACAAAAATCTGTTTGAAAGTATGTTTATTGACTGATGCTGGGGATAATAACCTAAGTAAAACACACAGTGCATACATAAATAACTCATTTTTTGCAGTTTAAGACGTTATTCCTTATTTCTGTGAAAAGTCCCCAAACTGCACCATGGCGGTTGGACTAATATGTAAGTATTCAATAAAGTGGCTTAGATATATTAAAAATGAACATTCCCCAATAATTAAATGCAAATAACATTGCTTAAGCATACTTGAGATATATTTCATTATAATATAATTAGTTAATAATACAAATTTTAATAACAGATGCTTTGAATAATGCTGATACTAACAGATAGTTAAATAAATTTCCCAATCTGCCTTGGCATTTGCAAAAAAAAAAAAAAAAAAAAAAACTTTACTTTTTCACAAATCATTTTAAATCCTTTTCAATATTAGTCATTAGAAAAGACTCAATATAGGCTTTTTGTAAAAACTTTTAATAATAGATTAATATAAATAAAAGCTGCTATGCTAATTAGTTTACACTTAAACTGCAAATTTAATCCCAAAATAACTTTTGGGATGAGACCATAATGTTTAAGCATTTTTTAATAAAAAATGAAAACTGAAAATTAATCATATTTGTCAAAGAAAGACTATATAAATACTTACTTCATCATTAGATTCTGAGACAGGGACTCTAGGTATTGTTGTAAAACAAATATTATACTCTTGAATAATTGATGGGTATAAGCTGTTGAAGTCCATAAGTAAAATGTATTTATCATAGAAACCTGCAAACAAATATACATACAAAAACATTATATATAAATTTCCTTTTAGCTACCACTATCTCTATACTCAGTTATATATACAAACCAATATGATTTTATATAACAAAAATTTAAGAAACTGCATTGCATATCTAAATTATATTTTAGACTGTAGAAATTTCATATCTGTTTTTCAAGAAATTTAAAGAGAATCAGAAAAGTGTTTGATATATAAATTTTCACCGTTATGCAATAAGAATATTTAAATAATTTATAAGCAGGACAAATAAAGATTTACCTTTCTTTGGATCTAACACTAAGCCACCTTCATAAGCTGGTTTACGACGACCTTTTTTATTTGTTATTTTGACTTCATCATCATCTTCAACTATAACCTATAAAAAATTGAATAGAAAATTTTTACTGTGAAAAGTATATTAGAAACTCACAATCCTCTTTTTCTAGTTCAATTTTTAAATTAGATTCTTAGAAAAACTACTTTTAAAGCTACACATTCACAACTTTCCATCCATTGCTCATGTTTTCAGTTTTTCATTTCTACACTTTCATCTTCCTTTTTTCATTGTTTTGTCACACATGCTATTATTCCCTCAAAGAATTTATTGCCTCTTACAATTTACTATTTAAAAAACCAAGCAGTGAAAGTTTCATCATATACTAGACATGGAAGGGAGAGAAAAGGAAAATGGCAAAGATGCTACAGGATTTTGTTAATTAACCAGTTATTATGAGTTTAACCTTTACTTTAATTTCTTTTTGTAGTCTTCATGTGAATTAGTTGTTGCATACTTAAGCTGAGGGTTTGAATGTTTTAGAATTAGAGCTTCTGACAGCCTCATATTGCAGTTACATACTATTGCAAGCTCTGCTAAAGTTATTCTGGGTTTAGTATCTTGCTAGCCGGCACTTATATATGTGCCCGCTTAAGTAATCTATTATGTGTGTAGTTTCAGACTATGTTACCCTACAATTGAATTAAACTTTATCTCACGTTAATTTAAATAACTGCAAACAGAGAAAGTTCATTTATAGCAAGCACAAGTAGTGCCTTCTGTTCATTTAAGAGTTAAACAAAAAGCTTATTTTAACCTCCTTAAGATTTGGTCATTTGCATTAGACTGAAGTGATAACTCGCTTCCCAGTCTAGTAAGGTCTGCAGAACACAGAGTTACGCCTCTGGTTAGATACAGAATATAACAAAACTTATCTGGTTAGATTTAGAATGCACTTATGCATATCTAAAATTAAACTATAATGCTTGAAATAAACAAAATATTTTTAATGATTCTGTAAGCACTTTACACCTTTGAATAACTGCTAACTTTTACAAAAATGCTTTTGCCAGTTTGACATCCAGTAAATGCCATGACTTCATGTGGAATAAAACGACATAGATATCTCAATGCTTAAGCTCAGAGCATATTTTTAGTTTGATTGCTCATAGCTTCAAATCATGTTCTCAAAGAACCCAGGATCAGACCTCTAGTCCAGCAAACCATCAATGAATATCATGGCACCACCTATTACCAATAACAACTATAACAATTTTATGCAAAAATAATTGGTTCTTGCTTGTATATAATAATGGAGAAACAAGGGAATATGAAGATAACACCATCTGAAATCAATAAATATTATTAACTAGACCATTTTGATACAGAAGTCAGACTTATATATATATTAAACAAGGCAGTCAGAAAAATTGTCAGATTTAATGAACAAAGCTCTTCATGAAAAACCTAAGAATTATATGTAAAGTTGAACTGACAAAATACAAATCCCTATTGTGCTCATAGTATCTTACATTTCAAGACCAGAACTTTCAATTTACAGTGAACCCTATTTTACACTTTTCAAAGGTATTAACAAAAATGTGTAAATTGCAAGAAAGTGTTTTTTAATATAATTAAAAGTAAAAAAAAAGTGTATCACTCTAAGAAAAGTAAGTATGCCTCTTCAATTACCATCATAATTAGTGGTTGGCATCTTTCCATTTTTAAAGCAACATAGTCTCTTTGATTTACTAAGCTTTTCCAAGTCATTGGCATTTGCAGTTTATATCAAAGAAAAGTGAAGTCTATTATGTTTACTATCATGGCACTTTTCTCTTTAGAAAGCCACGGTTTTTCTGGGAAGGACACAGAAAAAAAAGACTAGTTTCATCACCATTAAAAATGTTGTTGGGTGCATACAGCTTTACTAGTTCCAAAACCTATTCTCTTGCCAATCACTAACACCCATTAACAGCTCTAGACTTATCACACATAGTTATATAGTAAAGCTTTTTGAATCTCTCAATTCGATTTGACATTGAGAGTTTCCAATGTTGAGCCCACTGGCCATTTTGCGTGCTTTCTGTCGAACAGAATACTAGTGACTGGAATACTAGAAGCACATGCTGTCTTAACTTTATAATTTGCCCTATATTTGCTATATACTGAATAATTATTTTTATTAAAGTTTATTCTACTTTTATTCATTGCTTCCATTATTGAGTCTTTATTTTTATAATTATATTCAGTTTCGAAAGGATATTAAGGTTTTTGTGAGTTTAACAAGTGTTTCTCCTTTGAGGGAAAAAAATTTTCTCCCCCCTCTTTTTTCTGTTTATTTCTGGGCAAGTAAAAATTTGCTTATTTTTCATTAAAAATAAGGAAACAGCTTGCTTGGCAATGCAGCATTAAATATTTCTATTGATAGACTCTAAGAACAATAAAATAGCAAAGATAGAAAAAAACAGGTAAACACTTGCTACTGTGTGCAACAACAGAAGCTTGATGTTGCACCTGCCTTTTGGTACAGTTCAGTGCCATTTCAAAAGTGAACTGCCTGCTTGGAGTGGCATTTTGTTTGTTTCATATTCCCAGTGTTTTTCTTTTCTTTTATATTTAAATCACCACCTTCCTTTTTATGTCTGCTAGCCTATAAGCAGTAAATGGCAAAAAGTTCAAATTTCCATTAGGATAAATACAGTGACGGGAATGCATTGTGAACACACAGCAACTAAAGAAATCGAAGAAAAATGTCAATTCTGGAGAGGTAATAAGAACCTTATATAGTAGTCAATTCTTAAAAGAGTTTTTATACATAATAAAAATTTCTTTAAGAAATTAAAACAATTTCCAAATTTTCCTCCTTAGTTAACCTACATAATGAGTTAGATTACATTAGAAAAATGAATAAATCTGTACTGCCATAGTGAACATTAATATATTTCTATCATAAGCAATTAGGAAAGTTAGAAATTTTGGAATGATAGAAAAAAATGTTTAAGGTCCTGAAATTAAATCCTTAATTTTTAGAACTAAGGTGATGATTAATTAATTAAGATATGCACACCAACCTCTTTCAAAAGTGAATGTAGTTTAAATCGATCAGTTACCCCCCCCCCCCAAAAAAAAAATTTAATGAAATTATCAAGATATTTTTGAAAATGTACTAAAAGAGATGAGATTTGAATATGCCTGAAAAATATATGAAAATATTAATTTCAAATTTTTGAAAATTCAGTTAAAAAAAGTAAAAATTAACCCTCTACTCTAAAATACTAAAATACTATTACTCTATAAAATACTAAGAGGGGTAAAAGTACAAAACAAAAAACATACTTTTTTTTTCCCTTGAACTTTAGGTGGATATATGAAATTTTTTGCATGAAAGGCATGCAACAAGAGGAATTCATTACGCTCTGACCTCCCACCTAATAGTGTTCTTGACTGAAAGGAAAAGAATATTATCATTACTATTATATAGTACTTTACATTGCATTATATAGTATTACTTTTTATTTATAAATATGTACTGTAAAACACAACTATTTTACATATGTGAAATAAATATTTAAAAAGTTAAAACATCATACCATAACACATCCAGCAATGTTTGTAATCTGCAAGGCCAAAGGTAACACATTAAGCTCACAGTTTATTCGAAGAATGAGCTCAGATGTCATCATTCCATGATCAATTAATGTCAGAAGTTTTTTAGCTGACCTAAAGAATAAAGAATCATATATCAAAAAGGAGTTAAGTCACACATATTTGTTTTCTCAAAATAAGTTATGTTCCTTCCTCGACCCCAGAAATTTTGAAAAATAAAGAATACAAATAAGTAAGTCACAAGAGTATACACATATAATGCACCAAGAATCCTGAATTCACATTCACCCTCTGAGCGGCACGTCTGGCTATATCTGATCATTAGATTTTTTGTCACTTGATATATATTACCTTATAATTTAAGTTATTTTGCTTTCTTTAATAATGCAAATGTCATCTTAATAAAGGTAAGTTTATGAAAATAAAAACTAAAATAAGTAATTATACAAATTTAGAGCCTAGTGAATTACAAAAGTTAAAGAGTAAAAGAAAAACTATTCAAACTTTTTTAACTAAAATTGTGAATAAAATAAATGACACATTAAAAAGGGACAATACAATATTGACTATGATGATTTGGATGATTTAAAATATCAGCTAGAAGAAAAAGCTAATCAGATTTATCAGCTAGATTCTAACATAGAAAGCAAATGCTTGAAGCTGATGTTCTGACAAGCCAGGAATATCGTGAAAAGATTACGAGCCCCAAACCGTAACTAGAAAGGTGCTTTAAGTGTAAACATGAAAATGAAAGTAAAATTGATTTACAATTAATCCTCTAGAATTTCTAAAGAAGGGGTAATTATTATTTATCCTAATATCAAACTGCTGAAATTAAAAATAGAATCGTTTGACAGCAAATATGAAAACTGGGACAATTTGAAGGTGCAATTCATGAAAATAAACAGTTGCCAAAACTTGATAAATTTAAATATTTAAAATTATTCTTAAAGGATTCCTCATTAAAATGTATACAAGGATTGACATTGACATTAACGCAACATAATTATAATTTAGCTGTTGAACTATTAAAAGAACGATTTGGTAAAACCGAAATTCTTGTACATTCACATGTAAACAAACTTTTAGGCTTAACTCCTGTGAAATCCTGTAGCTAATAAATGCTGTTTAAATATAAGTCTTTATGACAAATCCAAAAATCTGCACCGCTTACAGGGTTAATGAATATTTACATTCAAAATTCAAGCACCAAAGTAAATGTAACAAAATTTAGACTTATCTGTGTAGAGTAACAATAACTTTTAATGTAAAACAGATAATTTAGATTATTTTTTATTCAATATAACCCTATTCAAAAAAACACTGAAATACCATATCACATCAATTAAAAAATAAAATTTTTAAAGATGATATACTTTCAACACAAACAAAAGTAATTTCAAATATTTCAGAATATTGAGAAATTATACTAATAAATCTTTGAAAACATGTCTCACAGTTTCTGCTCCCTAACATATTCCATCTGTGAACTGAACACTGAAATCTAATATCATTATATTATTGTATTATTGCACACTGTCCTTGTCGTCCTGATTTTGTATAGAGATTAGTGATGCTGGCTGCAATATCATTGGGCCTAGGTTTGAATCCTGGAGAAGACATAGATGTTTGTAAAGGTATGCCATATGTGTGGCACAAGGACATTTAAATTACTGGCAAGCCGAAAATCCTCTAAAGTTATTTCATGATAGAAAAAAACAGATGAAACACCCTCCAATTCATATCCTGGTATGCTCTTCAATATTCTCAAAACTGGGACAGAACAAACAGATTTATATCAAGTATAGTTCCACTACACAATTAGTGTGGTGGGATTATGTACAAGCAATGGTGAAATTCTGGTGTTTTGACCATTTTTACCAGTAGTTATAATGCCCATTTCTACTCATTTTACTGTTTCAAAGCTGAAAGAGGAAACTATGGGGAATATATCTCTTTAAAAGGGCTATTAAGGCATGACTTAGCACATCAAAAAACAATCACAAATACATATATTAAAAATTACTCCATTATCTCAATTTACTTTATGTATTACTAATTACCATTGTATTTCCTTGTGCATCCCCCTTGGCCTTTAGAGACAGGTTCTAAATTTTAAAAAAATATTTATGTAATTTTCCTTTCCTCAATATGTTTCAGAGAAAAAGCTTCCCTAAATTCTAAAATGGATTCATCCCCCCCACAGTGATTGTTTTTTGTCTTAATAACAAAAACAAACCCTTGAAAATTACATGTGAAGGTCACAGCATAACTCTTCCTTTTAACTATTGAACTTAATGCAGCCCAAATCAAGAACCAACTAATCACAACAAAGCAAACATAAACTGACACCCAGTCTACGATTCTGTTCAGTCAGCTGCACATTCACCTTCTTTAATTATTAATGGATGATTTGAGGCCTAAGGAGTAGCAGAGAAAACAATAAGAGTGGGAAAGATTCAAGTTACAGAGAAGTAGAAACAAAGATATCTTATTAAAAATTGAAATGTTTATATTACTATATATTCTTAGCGGAATGTAGGTCTCTTTTAAAAAAATAACATTATGATAGTTACTTGTAGTTTACCCACAACTACTTATCATTTATTACTTTTTATTATAGCTCTGTCCTTCAGAAATTAAATTACTTGCATAATATCCTCTCTTAATTTTTGGACAATAAAATTAGTAAAAAAAGGATATGTGAGGAAAAGTACATTATAATTGTAACCAGCTAACTCAACCAGGCTCTTGGGGTTGTATTTATATGGTGTGCACAAGATTAGAAAGAATCCTAGAGCTTAGAATATGCCTTTTCTTAAAACTTTTAAGTCACCAAGAACTGAGACCCACAAGGTGTATTTTTGCAGTTAATAAAACAATACATAGTCCTACAACAACACAAAAAAATGAATTGAACAAATACAGACATTCATAGAAATTCGCAGCATCCATTTATCTTTAGAGATCTCAGATAGTTCTTAATAAATCATGTCCTCTTGAATAAGATGGAACATACAAAGCTCACAATAATATTTATACGGCAATTTACGTTAAATATAATTAATAAATATAAAATAAAAATTTTTTGTAGGAAAAAACAACATACATGTAAAATGTTTGCGTAGATTCTGGCAAAATTTCAGAATATTGCTGATTTAGAACATAACTAGCTAGCTCTTGTAGGTCATAGCTTTTGCAACGGATAAGTTCTTTACTGGATATTTTAATATCACAAAGGAGGCGTCCACATGTAGCGTTTCTTTCAGCAATTCCACCTTGAGCAACCTGAAAATGAAATTAAAACATATAACTGATGACAGTGATCAAAAACAGAATATGATCTCATAAACAATATTTTGCAACATTTTACTTACATTGAGACGAGGAGCCCCAGTACGCTTTAGTCTTCCTATTCGTGACCAGTTTGGTATTTTGTGTACTACCATACGGTGGAGAAGTAGGTCTAAATCAAATCCAAAAATATCATGGCCCTATTTGGTGAAGAAATATTTATTTTATCTTTATCTCAATCAAAAGCCATATGATACTTTTGCATATTCATGCTGATTTACTGTCAATTTATGCTTCATTATCATTTTAAATTCATTCTTGATTTCTTGCATAAGGAGTCTAAACACTAATGCATAATATTCTCCAAACAGTAACAATATCAGTATTACATTTGAAAAGCATCAAGTCATAAAAAGCTCTTAAAATGACATGTCAAATAATATATCCCATCAAAATTGCAAAATGTTTCCTTTATTTAAATACCGCAATATAATAAAAGTCTTGATAACTTTTCAGATTTTTATGGGACAATATTATAGCTCATTTAATGTCCCTGGCATCAGAAAGGAGGGACAGAAAAAGAAAAGACTGGCAAGCTTGGAACAAGTCTCATGTAAAGAGAAGAATAATTGGAAAGCAGTCTGCTTATTTGAATATGGCAAATCATATAAGGGCTATCTGCCTAGAAGGAGGGACGCCTTCAGGAAAGATTTCTAAAAAAAAAACTAGTTTATATTCACATTATAAAAGGTGTGACACACACACAAAAGAAAAAAAGAAAAGAAAGAAAAGAAAAAAAAATTGTGTAGCTTAAAAATAGAGTGAAGCTGGCAACAACTGTTTTGGTGATGTCATGCCACACACCTCTATCCATGTGGCCAGTTTCAACTTAACTGACCACGGCAGTGGGAAGTATTACGTCATTGAGTGAACACATGCAACTGCATTCTGATGGAAAAATGTCTAATGTAAAAACCAAACAGCAAATCAACATAAAATTTCTTGTGAAACTTCCCAATGCTAACCGAGGCTTATGGAGATGAAACTTTGTCTCATGCACATGTGTTTGAATGGCATAGGCACTTTTCAGGGGGAAGGGATGGTGTGGAAGATGATGAACATGCTGGGCACCCCCTGGGGCATTCATCATGATTGAATGGGTTCCCAGTGATCAGACTGTTAATCAATACTTTTTAGTACATTAGAGTACTAAAAAGATTTCTTGGGAAAAAAAAGGCCATGGTTGTGGAGTGGTGGATGGCTGTTGTACCAGGACAATGCTCCTGCTCACACAGCCCTATCTGCCAAGCAGTTTCTGACCAGCAAAAACATTACTGTGATAAGGCATACTCCTTATTCACTTAATTTGCCTCCATGTGATTTTTTTTATTAAGTTAAATCTTACTTAAAGGGAACCCATTTTACCTCAGCTGAAGAGATTCCTTGTTCCAGAACTGTTACCAGAATGACAGCACCAAATGCAGAAGTGTGTGAATGCTGAAGGGAACTACTTTGAAGGTGAAAATGTCACGGAGAACTTACCCCGTAAGTACAATGATTTATTGGTCTCACTTTTTTGTGTCACACCTTGCACATGGTGAAAGCTATGAAAACTAATCATGTAGTTGCCCTGTTTCCCTGAGATCAAATCCAGGAAAAACTACCAGGATTTAGACATCATGGTGGGAAAGCAGAGTAGTATGAAGAGACAGAGCAGTGACAGATGGACCAAAATGGCAAATCATGCATTATTTAATTGAGCTAGAGAATTTAAGCATGCTGTGCTGAAACCTATCTTCATATTTATTCACAGAAACAAATAATTTAATATCAGTGAAACATCAACTAAAAAAGGAAACAGTCCTTTCCAGAAAATGTGTCAAAATATCTTAATAATTAGCTAGAATGCTTTAAAGAATATGATATGGCTTACATGCAGAGATATATTTTTAAAAAATTATATTACAGCATGAAATATATTATAGCCAATGGATATGAATTATATTACAGTCAATGAATTAACTTGGAAAAACAAGAACGTTTATTCAAGTGTGTACTTGTATGTATTAACAAACTACTCTTGTGGACTATGAACGATTAACACATAGTGCACTTCAAATAAATGGATTACTACAATTGTAAAGAATGCTTGCCGACTACTTGCCAATGACGGCAAACCACGAAATTGTACAGCTCTCATGAAAGATGTGATTTTTAAAGTTTTCCCACTTTTTTATTTATTCACTACAAAGATTCCAATTTGAAAACTTAAGAGACTTCTGAAAGCTGCCAAATTAGGAAATATTTTCTTTCAACAGATAATTTTCAAAGAGTGTCAATTTGTTGCCAAGTTAATAGATTAAGGAAGCTTGTGTTTTCAACTCTAAAGGCATTATTTATAAGTTGTAAACAGTTACCGTTAAATTTACTAAACTAAAATTGCAGTAAAATATTACATAAAAATACACAACAAATGTATACAAATTTATAAGAATACTAAGCAGAAAATTAACACATAAAATCTATATTAATACAAATATATAAACATACTTAAAAAATACAGGAGCAAAATCACATAATTAAACTTATTAATAAATTACTCCTGATTAAAAGGAGGTTAGATAATATATATAAAGAATATGGTTTATTAGTAGAGATATAAAAGATTAATAGCAGGTGCTATTCCAAAATTTACAAAGACATGAAAAAATCATTAGACACATTTCTTATTTACTCTTTCAGCAATGGTTGAAGCCACATATATTCTAAGTTAGACTCCATGTTATATCTATAGGAATCTCCATGTTAAATTTATAGGAATCTTTCTCTCCTCCTTCTTTAAGCAAGACTGCATTTGCTGTGTTTTGACCTCTTGATATGTGAGAAAAGTATAAAAGAAATTTAGAAATTAAAAAAATACTTCAGTAAACTTTTGGCGCTAAAGCAAATTATCATGTGCACATCAAATTTGACAGTTTTAATAGTTTAATCATGATTAATTTTTGGGGGCACTCTGATCAATGGAATTCGGGATCATATTTTTGCATGGTGAAAAGTTTATCTGCATTACTTTATCTGTTACAATAGAGTGCTTGCTCTGTTGCTAGAAAAAAAATTCCTCCTACTTTAGATACTGCTGTTTACACATCAATAAATGGAGTTTGTGAGGCTGACAGGCTATTTTACTGCACATCAATGAATTCTTTAGTTAATGGACAGATTATGAGACCAATTAGTCTGTGCCAAGTTTACATCTGCAACGTGAATTTTGGGAATTCAGTAGCTTGATAATTATACTTCATTCTCCTTAATGTTCAGATTTAACTTCCTTCAACTTCTTGAAAAGAAAATAAAGGGAAAAGACTCATTTTTGTAAATGAAGCCCAAGAAAACTCACTGGTGGAGCTGGCTATCATAAAAAAAGAATGCTTTGTAAATCTTCACAATTATGAGAACACCACTGGGAATGATGCTTTTATTGCTATAGACTTATTCAAAGACAATGGTGCAAAATAAGGTATAATACTTCTAAAATTTTTTGGGATGACAGTATTTTGAAAATTTACTTCTAGAGGTGGGAGGGGGGGGGACTATCACTCTGAAATGCAGCCAGTTTTAGTGTTATTTAAACATGTTAGTTAATAACTCTTCCACTTAATGTATAAAAGACCATTCATAAATTATTAATTAAACTTGGCAATAAATAGACTTCTGGAAAGGAATAAAAACAAAGATATATGAAAATACTGGAAAGATTCCTTTCACCCCTTGTGAAATTAGTAGAAATCAGTATTTGCTCAAGTTATCCTTTATTCAGCGAGGGAATTTATTATTTCTGACATCAGACACAGACCTTTTCCTGAATTTTGTTCAGACATATAACATATATTTTTAACTGATTATGGAACTTATTCTAATCAACAGAATATTTTAGGATGCATCTTCAATGAAACAAAATCCATTTCTTTTCTTTAACCAATCTGTTCATTGTTCTAGAACTTCAATAAATGGCCAGATTTTTCCAACCATTATGGAGTGCTTAATTTGCAGAATTACTGCTACTTTATTACCCAAATTACGACTCATTTAAGTAAATGTATTAGGCAGCTATTTTAAGTATGAGAGTAAAATCTACTCATATAAAATAAATTTTAAATGAAGAGGCTTTTCAGATTTCTCATACTTTACTCAACATTTTACTCATTTTAAAAATGCACAATAAAAACTATTATAGCAATAAACATTTATTACATACTTTATAATAGAATTTTCCATAATTAAAAACTGCAATACATACAACAATAATATCTGGATCCATCTTGTTAATCTTGGCCAGGAAATAAATAAGCAAGCTACGTTCAGAATCAACACGCTCTACTTTAGTATTGTTATACTTTGTGATCGCTTCTTTGAAATCAAATGGAAAGATACAGTCGCTGGGTTTAGTTAAAACTGGGGGGAAAAAATTAATAGCTCTATCACTATTATACATTATCCATACTGTAATCAATAAAATATGTAAACTTTGTCTAAAAGAGAACTTTCTTACTGACAAATCACAAAATATAAAAGAATGTTAAAATACAGTAAAAATATTACAAATTACATATTATTCCAATCCTGATAATTATTAATATGAAAATTTATGAATTTTTGTGATTAAAATGTTTTATAATAATCTATTCAGAAGATTGATTTTGCAAGCACAGTTTAGACTTTAAATGGTGCTCTGCGTTGAATTCATGAATGCCATGTGTTCTTAAAAAAAATTATTTACGAAATGATTTCTCAAAAACACTGGCCATGTTTCCATACATTTAAATAAAAAATAAATGGAACCTCACTCAAAATATGCCCCCCTTTTTTTTACCAATAGAAGCTAATAATCTCATGCTTGCAGAAATAGGAACAAATCATTACAAATATTTTTAACAATAAGATCATAATCATGTTTGAATACTTTACACAAATTTCTTGGCAAAATCATTCACATTAAATAAAGCAACAATTATGTTTACTTTTTGCTGCTCATAAACAAAAATAGTGAAATAGAAGTTAAAATGGGAAAAGGTAAAAACTTTAAATTGAAACAAAATTCCAGTTTTGAATGAAAAGGAATATTAAATTAAAGCATTCACATTATGTATACATAACATTGCATGAATAGAGAATAAGCACTTATAAGCAGACTGTAAGCAGCAACCAGCATAAACTGGCCAAAACCTAACAGTTAATGTGCTTATTCAACAGAATTTGATCCCTCAAAGAGATCTCATGGAAATTAAAATGCTCAGCAAGAAAACAAGAACTTGATTAATTAAATTATAATAAAACACAGAACTGGCAGCCTAAGAGGAGGCATATCTTAATAAATGATTTTCTGATATTTTTGGTTTGGTTAATGTGATTATGGCAAAGACTCGAGGGCTATCTGCCTAAGGGAAGGGATATCTTCATGGAGGACTTTCTAAGCGAAACTTCTAAGAAAACATATTTCCTCATAACTACGTTTTATTCACCTAATCATCTAAAAATCACAATAAAAAGGAATTTTAGGTACCCAGCACAGGCAACATATTAGCTATTAAAACATTTTGATCATTAACTTTAAATTCAGATTAAGATGTAGTCATTAATGTAATAATTAACATGATTGGCATAGAACATTTTAATTTTTAAAAGGATTTCAACATTTATATATATGTACATATATATTTTTTTTCATCTGCTTTTACATGTAGCTAGTTCTTTAACCACATCACTATTCATTGGTATGTTTCTGCCTTTCCTAATTTTTTCAAAGTATTTCAATCAAATCAATTTTGTTAACTGATTCTCACTTTATTTATTCTCGTAGAATTTTGACTTTAATTAAATACTTATGGTTAACTATAAAATAAGTTGGTATTCTTGCTTAGAATGCTGCATAGCACAGAAATAACTAATTTCATATGAATGATGCACTGAAGTCTGCATGAGAAAAAAAAAAAAAAAAAAAAAAAAAAAATTTAAATAAATTGAAGAACTTCACTAACCACAAAAATGATTATCATAGGCAGGATTGGGAGCTGTTTTATCCAATGGAAATTCACGATGCGTAAGACATGACACAGCTACAATCTAAAATGATAAATATATAAACTTAGTATGATGCAGATGAGTTAATGAAAATAAAAACAAGTTGCAATTAAAATAAAGTATTATGTATGCAACTATACAAAATATTCAGCATGTAAGGTAAAGTATAAATGAACATAAAATACATTTACACATACAGAACACATGATTTGCAATTTCATCATTTTCTGTTCATTTTCAATGGGTTTCACACAGCATTGTGTAGGAAATTTTAAGCAAAAACGTAAATTACTGAAAACCATGTGCACACCGGGTACTAAAAATATTGACAGAGGTGCACAAAACCATTGTTTTTGTAGTGCTTTAACTTTCCTCCAGCAGTAGAGTGAGAAAGAGGAAGATGTTTTAAGCCTGACACAGACACCAAAATGCTACACCAGAATCAAAGCTACAATCCATGGAATGATAGCATTCATCATCCCCCATGAGAGTGAAGTTCAAGCAAACAGTTTCAGTCCAGAAAATCATGTGTGTGGTTAAGAAAGAAATTTCCTTATCGGAGGCCACGCTCTTCGAATCAGCACCTGCCTTCAATCCCCCTCTGTATCCTACCGCTTCTTTGTTGGCAAGTGTACACATTATGCTTTATCGCTTTATCGTTTGCTACGAAGTGTGATCCAAGGCTTTTGTTAGAGCGATTCATTCTTCTGAGGAATCTTCGCACCAAATAAAACCATATTATGAACATAGGTCAAGTTAAAATGAATCATTTTTAAGTCATTGAACTTTAATGAGATGAATACATGGAAGTTTGGGTTTTAATAGTACCTAAGAAACAATTAGAACAGAAAACGTTTTAATTTGAATTTATTAAAGTATTTATGTTTTTATGTCGGTCAGTATATTTTATCTTCTAACAAGAAGATCCGAAAAAAGCAAGACTCGATAATTTCTTCCACATTTTACAAATATACCTTAGAAGCTTTTTACGATTATAGGAGTATTAAATTTAACTAGTCTGCAAAGAAAATGTCCTAGTGCTGTAGTCCCCAACCTGTGATCTGTGGAGCCCGGGCCCCGTAAAAAGGGTCCCAGGGTCCCGACCGGGTTAGCTAGGCTGGTGCTTAGGTACTGGCGATGATGCGCCACCCCCCGTTCACTTGTATGTGATAGTAGTTGGATTGTACTTATGGATGGATTTCTCCTTTCAGAGGCAATACGGGCTCATATGAGCAACGCGTCTGGAGGATGACTGCTGCCCGTCAGGCCTCATGAAGTGATGCGATGGGAGCCTTCCTGTTCTTCTGATGACCTATTCCGGTGGACATCTAGTCAGGTAAGTGCCCTCCTCCCGCTTGTGGTCATGAGTTCCAGGAAAGCAGGACGCGTCAGATGCCGCTAAGTGGGTGATGTCTCCCCGTGCCAAATGGGAGGAGCCGCAAATTTATTAATTTGTGTGTCAAATTTCGTGGTCGAGGGCCAATGGGAGGCCTTATATCCTTGAAATCCACTCGGATGCAGAAGTCATCGCGTTTTAAATTATCAGGTACAAGCTTACTAGAAATTGCAGATTTACCTTCATCATGTTGCTTAAAAGCCTTCTCAGATATAATTCGTATTTCAGCATATCTGCCTCAGTAATACATCTGTACATTGCATAATACTCTTCATCCGTAAAATTAATTATTCCTTTAATTTCTTTATTTACTTAAAATAAATATTCTGCCTTCTCAACAACTTCGTAAAATTGAACGTGAATATCCCTTTCAACATCAATCTTACAATGAATATCAGTAACTGTATTTGCTGCCATAGTAAAGAGATGGCATAAATAGTTCTTTCAGCTCATAACTTAATTTCAAGCTTCACATAAAACAGCAAAGCAGGATACGTCCTAAAAGGATAAGTATCACTCTTTAAAAAGAATTTTAATCGCTTCTTTTTGTAATGCAGAAAACATTTAAGCTACATCTGGTATTCAATGTGACTTCCTGGTCATACACACTATATGAGCAGTACAAGCTGTTTTACAGGCAATAGCAAAGCAGACCAATTTTATAACGTTAAGCAAGTCTAATCTACAAGTACTACGTGGCCTCAAAAAACGCATGGAAAAAAACATAAAAAAACGCATAGAAAACACAACAACAACAACAAACAAAACAAAACAAAACAAAACAAAAAAGCATGGGGAAAAAAACACCAAAAAACAAAACGATCGAAACTAGTCCTGTGGAAATTTGCAAATATAACACTGAATTTTGTTGTTTGATTTCCAAATTAATATCATATTATATTTTCACACATCTTATACACTGAAACACAGATGGTGCCCACCTTAAGAACGAGTTATGTGCTAGTATGAATTTGGAATGAAAGTGTCTACTGTATTTCTTAATAAACAGACTCAGATTGCTATGGATGATCACGGATGTAAATTCCAGCACCTTTTAAACACATCTTTGAATCTAAATGTATTCTAAGAAGTACAAAAAACGTAAACGGGATTTTAATCGCCCCAAACCTCAACTCAATCATTTAAATTATTCCAACCTTTTAGGAAAACAATAAACATCGCAAACATAAAAATCTGTCCTTTTTTATATATACGTAAATAAAGAAAATGTGTTCTATATATATGTAATAATAAAATTCTATAGCCGATTACCCCAGTTTCCTACCATTCTAGAGCTTTAAAAGATTACGAAAAAAATTATGCAATTACAGAACTTGAATGTTTAGCTATTGTTGATGCATTATATAAATTTTATTACTATTTTCACGGTCAAAAATTTACAATCCATACCGATGATGCAGCCCTTGTTTGGCTTAAAAACGTTAAGAATTTAAGAGGCAGATGATTACGTTGGTCACTCCGACTCAGTATGTTTGATTACGAAGTTAAATATCAAAAAGGCTGTACAAACGTTGAAGCTGATATACTTTCTAGACAACCTGTTTCTCACCAACTCCAACATTCTGTGTATTTACTTAATCGTGATGAAATTATACAACAGCAAAAAAGTGACAATGTGTGATAAAAAATATGTAGAACTAAATGATTTGATGATAATTAAGAAGAAAAAAGGTTATAAAATTGTGGTACCAAAATCCTTAAGATTAAAATTATTAACTGATGAAAAATTCGGACACCCAGGTATTCATGCTATGTTAAATTTAATCACCCCACAATATTATTGGCCCTACATTAGTAAAGATATTGGAAATCCATTGGGATCTTCCCCGCGCAGGTTCGAATCCTGCCGACTCCTTGTGATGTACCAGCTTTAGTCGCAGCTTAAATTATCAGACGATAAGTTTAAAAAAAAAAACAGGATCCATTTATTATTATTCAAGAGAAATAGCAGTTACAAAATCAGATATCTGGAGTAAATAAAAAGAATTACTAATAACTTTTTGCATGAAGTTTACTGCATCATGACATTTAAGAAAAAGCCCCCGATATTCCTTTGCGAGTCCTTTTATAGCCTCTGGAAAGGCGGAGCTTCCAAGAAATGACGTCAGCCAATCCAGTTCGCTTTAAATATTTCCAGAACATTCTATAACTGTACATGTAGAAAAGGCGGGAAAAACAACTTGACTACGGGGCTATGGATTTAATTCCACGTACTTTCAAACAAGAGAACGTCGCCACTAAAAATGAAACGAACATACAGTTAGAATTTTAAATGATGGCATTACATTATTGTTTTTTTCAAGTACTTGATCAAGTTGTACATGCAAAGAAACTGTTATTTACATTCACAGAATTTGAAATGTTTTCATTTCTTTGAGTTACCACTAAATTACTACAATCAATTTTTAATTCAAATAATCTACATTCATTTAAACCCAAAAAAACATAATCTAAATTAGCATCTAACACTAACAAGTTAATTAGTTTAATAATATTTCCAATTTTCATTTGTAATCTACACATTTTATCAATAGAAAAATTTCCCTTAGTTTGCCTAATTTTAATACCTTTTACCTTTTGAATTTTTAACTGTAAATTGTTTGCAGATTTTTATCCCATGGCAGATCAGTCGACTGTGTCGTAAACACTGGCGCGACATTGTCTATCATCTTAGAAAAATCTGCAAATAATTTACAATTAAAAATTCAAAAGGTAAAAGGTATTAAAATTAGGCAAACTACGGGAAATTTTTTCTACTGATAAAATGTGTAGATTACAAATGAAAATTGGAAATATTATTAAACTAATTAACTTGTTAGTGTTAGATGCTAATTTAGATTATGTTCTTTTGGGTTTAAATGAATGTAGATTATTTGAATTAAAAATTGATTGTAGTAATTTAGTGGTAACTCAAAGAAATTAAAACATTTCAAATAAATTAAAACATTTCAAATTCTGTGAATGTAAATAACAGAGTTTCTTTGCATGTACAACTTGATCAAGTACTTGAAAAAAAATAAATAAATAAATAAATAATGTAATGCCATCAGTTAACTTAGGGTTCTTTCTTTTCGATTCGGTTCAAATGACGGATTCGACAACTCAATGCGCATGCCTGGTTAATGTTGGTGCGAATAGCCTGAAGAGACTACTCGAGCCATTCAACCTTTTAAGAAAACAATAAATATCGCGAACATAAAAATCTGCCCTTTTTTATATATGCGTAAGTAAAGGAAATATGTTCCTTATTTATATATATATATATATAAATATAAAAAAAGGAAAACATTTTTCTTTCTAATCTTTTGAAAGTCACCAAAGCTTAAAAAATTATAAACTACGCCAATGTAGAAAAGTAAAAACATTTCTTGATTTTTCTGAACTGTAGTAAATGAATATTTTAAAATATCGAAAGAATGGGACAGGAATGGAGTCTCGCTTGTGGATTTTTTGCCTCATGATAGCATAATAAATTCTACAATGTACTGTGACACCTTAAACAAACTGTCTGTGCAATCCAAAACAAAAGGTGTGGCATGCTGATTAGGAGGATCGTTTTGCTTCAAGACACCACATGTCTACATGTGGTTTGTAAAAGAACTCAAGATCTCATTGCATTAATTCGTTAGGAAATACTTTATCACTTTCCGTACATTCTTGAAATAGCGTTTAATGACTATCCCCCATTCCAGGATTTGGGCAGTTTTTACTACAACGAGGTCAAAACAACTGTACTGTTGTGGGTGTAAAGTGTTGCATTCGCAGCCAGATAAAGAAAGGATGGTTGTATGATATGGTAATTGCTTAATATTGGCGGAAATTATGAGAAAAATAGATTGATGCACAGACTTTCATATAAAATTGGTAGGAAATTCTACTTGTTTCCTTTTTTAGTCCCAAACAATATTTACTTTAAATACACGCTTTGTATAAATGGCTATTATTGCATCAAGTTAATTATTTTATGCACTTTTTAATTTCAATATTGTAGTTTCATTATTTGCAAACTGTTGAAGGAAACTAATTGCACAAATAATAAGCAATCACTCTATTCTTTTCATTAACTTTCAATCTAAAAAATTTTATTTTTTACCTTTGATCATGTATTCAGGTATTACAAAATAAAGATATGTACATTAAAAACTGTAACCTCACTTAAAAATGGATTTGTCTATATGTTCTAATTTTATTCAGAAAGAGTATTTTTAAAAAGTCTACAATTTCATAGCAACTTAAAAAACTATACTTACTTCATTCTGCTGTGTCTTGAAATTATGAGCAGTTGTTAGATTTAAACACATAAGAGTCACAGGTGGAACACTTAAGGTATCATCTACATTTCTGATATGCTTCACTTTTGTTACAAAAGCCTGATAGAAAACAAAACATGAAATGATTGTTTAAACTTAGTTAACAATGAAATAAATTTCTAATGAATTTTCAAATTATAAATCATTGAATATCTTCATTCAAAATTTTTAATAATTATGATTATCCTTTACTTTAAATTTTTGTCTTTATATTAAGTTTTATCTCCTACTAGTTCCCCTTTGCCCATTCCCTAGTTATTATATTTATCTCTCCTTTACCACAGAAATAAGAAATGCTAAATAATTTAAGACTAGGATTACACCTTAAAGCTTGTATTTAGAAAAGTTAAAAATTAATTGCAGATTTGAAATTTACCAAAAAAAAAAAAAAAAACAAAGCTTTAGTTGGGATATCCTGTAAATGATATTGAGGCAGTCCAGTTAGTTGATAATGCAATTGCCATTTTTATCTTTACTCAACTCAAGATTTACTGAAATGTTTTTTGAGTTATAAAGTTTTACTATATATATATTTGAGTTACAATATATAGTAAAACTTTTTTAACTATATATTTGCTAAACTGTTTATTTTATTTCTGATAGGAGCAGAAAATATGCCTATAAAAAATCGAACCGATTATAAAAACACGTGGAATGAGAAAGTCTAACAGCTTTATAAATTATATCTAAATATAAAAAAAAAGGTAAACAGGTAAATATATACATGCTCTTTGACAAGAAGAACATTAAGCTCGGTGCTAGGCTCTTTGCTGCCCAATCCACTACTGTGGCTACTACATTCAGCCATTTTGTGCCTCCCTTAATTCTAAAAACGTTGCAATGGCTTTGGTGCAGGCACTGCAGTACATTAATAATTACTGTATTTTCAATCATCATTCAAATTAAAATAATTATTTTGTCAAAGTCCTTTTCTTAAATTCAACAGTAATTTTCAAAAAGATATTTCAGACAGTGCAAATGAGACAGGTACTTGATTATCTAAAGCCATGCAAAGAATTTAAGCCATACACCATGCAAAGAATGCAAAGAATTTAAGCGTGTGTCCTCAAGAGGAAACAATCACAAAACCTAGAAAACTCTCATTTACTCAGTTTGGCACTATGTCTGGAGCAAGCTAACCTGATTATACCAAGAAAAGTGAAAGAAATGCCAAGTGACATATTTAGCATTTCCCCCCTCCAATCACTAGAAATTGCTAAAACACTGTTAGCAGATAAAAGTAATATATGAAGAGTTCACTAAATTTTACATTTTTCAGTTTTATACCAGTTCTTTATAAACTTCCCCCTTTGGCATCAGAACAAAATCCACCAATGACAGGGTAATTTATCATAGCAGAAAATTCCAATCTAAATCTTTGGACATTACGCTGAATTCTCTTGCTACTAATCATCAACTTACTTTTTTTAAATCGCTATGAAATTGAACCAAAATGTAAAAAACTAATACATAACATGGCATGTGGAATACTTCTTGTCAATACGTCTTGGGAAAAAAAGAAGTGATTGTACAGCGATAAGCAAAGTGAACTGGAAGTTTCCCAATGAGATAAATAAACTAAAAATAATCCAAATGTGATTAACCTGATTCTAAAACAATGTTCAACATAAATAAATACATGAAAAGAAGAGCAAATCAGTTGCTTAGTCTTCCTATAGTCTCAAGTTAGCTGAAATAGCAATTCAGCCTCAAAACAATAACGCATTTCAGCTTTTGTAATTGTTAGTCATATACATAAAATATACAAATTAAAATTTTAAAAATTTTATGTAATTTATTAAATAAAAACCTCTTGAATGACAACAACTAAAATAGTCACATAGCCATAATTCTCTCTCCCTCTTTCTCATCTCTTAGATTCTAGTTTTAGCAATGAAAAGTGATTACAAAAAAGGGAAAAATTTATACATGCATTCGAATACTTGAAGTCTTCACAGGAAACATCATTAAATTAGATGCAAATTCTGGGCTTGCTCAATCAATTATTAAAATTAATAATAAAAAATTAAGATGCCTCTCAACTATTTTTATCTAAAAATATTTATGCCACTTTTTTATTATTATTTATTAGAAAATAATAATAAAAAAATCAGTTTTATTGAAATATCCTTTGGCTTTTTTAATCAAATCAAGATCATGTTGTTGATGTTGATGAGATCTACAGATTAAATAAATTTTGCACTGATGAACATTAATATGATAACCACTACTTATTTACATATTATAAAAATAGCAAAATGAATAACTGAAGTAAATCAGATAACTTTATTTGGCAATGCAATATTTTAAATATTGTAGCAAGTAAGCAGTCTTTTTTTTAAATAACTAATTTTGTGACAAACTAAACTGCAATATCACTTGGAACCAGACATATGAATCGAATGTGAAAATAACAGCTTACCCAGACAGATATACAAAAACAATCTGAGAAAAACAAACTGTCTGAGAAAATAACAGCTTACTCAGACAGGGAAGGATACTCAGCCATATATTTAAAATACTGCATTGTAATTTACAATTTATTTTATATCACATTAGAACAAAAGTCATAATTCTGATTCAGAATTTTAAAATCCAATTAAAAAAGAAACATACCTCAACTTTACACCAGCTAACCGGTGGAATTGAAGGTTCTAAAATGAGATAGGATGAACAATTATTTCCAGATGCAAAAATGAAACCAAGATGAATATAACATAAGCAACCATACAAAATAATTATATAATCTTCATAAAAATGCACAGTTCAGCATTAATAGTGATTTGACCTGTTCTCATTCATAGTCACAGTAGTACAAGCTATCATGACAGACTTATACCATCATTTTTTTAATGATAGTTTCAAGATTGTGATTCAGAAGAAAAAAGCATCCAGTAAGTGGCATTCCAAGTAATTTCTATTATTTATACATTTTTTGCATGTTTAGTCTTGAATATTCAATTCCATACCCCGTTTTTTTTAGTTATGGTAAAAACCATAATTTCTTTAATTAGGATCAATAAATGAAATAAATGAATATGCAGATAAAAAATACATTTAAAACTATCCTAAAATCTTGGCAAAGCCAATCTTTGGCAGATACTGAGCTGAAAATATCCTCAGTATCTGCCAAAAAATATTAAATAAAATAAAGATATTTAATACAAGAACATGAACTTACGAGCACAGTGTACATCAATCCAACCTGGTCCTTTGAGCTTCTGTTCAAGCAGAAGCATTTCCAAAGCTGTAGAATCAGCCCCAAGAACATGGCTAAAAGTAGAACCACAGAGACTGGCAGGAAGTGGAGGATGACGAGACTATTAAAAAATAAATTCATGTAAAAAAATGTTCTTCAAAATGAAACATATGTTCTTAAACTTGTGGGTCTTTTTTAGATTTGTATGATATTTAAATAAAAAATTACCACATGGAAGGGAAATACTCTCTAAATCTTGAATTTATTGCATCCAAACAAAAATAATAATAATAAATTTTTAAATATTGTTTAAAATGCAGCTGAAACTGATACCTGTACATATAACTATGCACGGACTGATTAATGAAATGACAGTTAAATGTATTTAAAAAAATACAAAGACTGTTAAAAAAAACACTTTTTAAATTGCACACCAATGACTACAGATGGCATGCATCAGCCATCATCCGCATCCAGTGGCATATCTTAGTAATATATCATCATTTACTGGGTTTCTAACTATACATACATTGAGAAACTACCATTTGAATGAGGCTCCTGCTCGCAGGATTAGTGAGAATGCAAAAATGAAGGAAGTGGAGGAACAACACATTGGTGTCAAATTTTGCACAAAACTGGGGAAAACTTTCGCAGAAAAATTCCAAATGCTTAATTAAGCACAAAAATGACTGCAAGAACTGAATGCAGTATTGCCATTGGTCAAAGGTTCAGTGGACAAAGATCCAAGGACCTGACAATCTTTTACTTCAACAAAACACCCAACATGCTCAGAGCACTATGAATTCGTAAGACATGGCCAGACAGAAGACAAGGAAGTCTACCAGAGAATTCTAACACAACTGAGATATGCTGCACATAGAAAGAGACTTGAATTGAGGGGAGAAATGGTCTTGAATCATGACAATGTTCTAGCTCATGCATCGCTTCTTGTTACCAAGAAATCCGCAAGTCTATTGCTATTTTAATGAAGCATAAGATTTACAGATTTTATCTATCTGTTAATGATTAAAAAACTAGCAATAAACACAAGATGCAGTTCTTTATTGTTACTAACTAGCTGGACCTGTGAAATTATACCAGCTGGACACACTAAAACCATTACACCCCTTTTTTTACTGATCATTTTAGGCAGCTGGCTGAACCAGCAGCTAGTGTTACAAAAAAGTATGCACTTTTACACATTTTATGAAAGACCTGCAAAATAATGTGTAAGCATAAAAAAGCACATATTATTGCTCAGAAATTAAATTAATATTTATAAGTTGAACTTAGTTATTCAGAATTTTTACCCCATGATCATAAAAAGATATTTTAACACTAATATATTTTCAATGCATTTATATATTAAATACACAATACATTTAAAAGTTTTTTCTTATATACTAATTACATAATTTCATATAAAAATTAATTTTAAACAAATTTTAAACACATTGAATTTAAATTTTTATATATATCTCCTACAAATAAAATCCCAGTTAGTAAATTTTATTTTACCAAATAAGAAACATATTTAAAAAAAAAATCTGGCCGTAAAACTGGACAACAGCAAAATTTACTACTTTTGTCTGGGAAAAAAAAAAAAAATTAAGTGCTCATAAAAAATTTAATTACATTGCCTGCCCCCTTTTTTTAGTTTCAGCAAATAGGAATCTGTAAATATTACTTATACATTTACGCTTTCCTGACATAAAACATATCTTTTAGAAACTTGTACTCAGAAATCAAAATGCATAGCAGTACACTATAGCAGTATTTGAATATACTACTCAAAATTTTAATTAAGCGATGCCGAGTAATATTAAACAAATGAGAATGAAATGCTCTTATGTAATTTGGCTTTTGGAAATACTTTTCATAAAAGTCAAATAAAAATTTATTTTAAGTTTCACATGTACTTTTGCAGAAAAATGTTATGCAGCCAGAACTGAGGTAGTCTGACAGCTTACCTAATTTGATTCATTGTTTTAAAAATTTTCACCAGCCTGATGCAAAGAGAATAAAAATCTCCCTAGTGCAAAATGCATCAGAATACTGAATGTAATTAAATTGCCTAGGTATGTCTTTGTATTAGGCCTAACATGTGCATATTACAGATATGGAACATAGATAATAGAAATGAAAATCCAAAAAAAAATTCAGGAATTGTATGCCAAGTGCTGTTACAAATAATATGATAAAGAAAATAAACTATATATATATATATATATGGGAAATTTCTAGGAATTTTCTTTTTTTAACTTACATTTCTTTTTTTCTTTCTTTTAATTTAATAAAATTTTTAAGGAATTCATTTCAAAATTTTATATTTAATTTTAAATTTTACTTAATTACTTTTTAATTTGCAATTTCACTAAACAATAATTTTTTCACTTAATGTTATTATTTGCATTATTTACACAATTTTGCAACACTTTAACATTACAAACAAGTTTACATTTATTAATTCACAATAACCACTTAGCAGTGGCGTAGCGAGGGGGGGCAAGGGGGTGTATGATGCCCCGGGCGCCGCTCGCAGAGGGGCGCCATATGGTCTCCAAACAAGATTTTCATCATGTTACTGTGTTTTTTTCGGGAGAGGGGGGGGGCGCCAAAAAGGTATTTTGCCCTGGGCGCCAGTTATGCTCGCTACACCACTGCCACTTAGCTCTACTTTACTTCAGTTAGAGTACTCTTTTTATGATATCTGGAGCAAATTTACATCTCTTGATTGGCTCAGCTACTAAACTCCCTACCATAAATAGTTGGTCAGTTAAAATTAAAATTGAATTACATACTTTTAGGATATTCTTTGTTTTATTCTAAATTTATATTATTTTAATATTACAGTTTACAATATTTTTAATAAAACAAAGATAGCAGCTTGGCACTCAACTTTACTTACATAAGCGCCATCTATATAATTTGCAGAACACACTTGCATCACTTAGGAAATACTTTTGCAGACCCCAATGCTAATATGGTAGGTAAGTTGGAATTAAAACATACTATTTACTTGCTTTTAAGTATTTTTAAGTAGTATTTAAGTATTTTCTAGATATGTAATTATATTTTTAAATATATATTTGTTTTTTATAAATTATGAATTACGTTTCTTACTGGTTTATATAAATTATATCTAGTTCCTTTTTAGTTTCTTTTTATTGATATGCATATTCGTGTCGGGGAGGTTTCTGTAGACAAGAGTTTCTAAATTAATTTTTCTAGAAAATTTAATTTAAAAAAAAAAATTAATTTAATACTAGACTTTACATTGCTTATTTCTCAAAATACTTCATTATTGGTATTTTCCTTTTAGACCTTTAAATTTTTAATTGCTAATTTCTCATGGTAACAATTAATTTTTGGACATTCTTCACTATGTATTTACTTTTGGTTTTACTTTTACCCTTGCCTGCATGAATGACGAAACACGAATTGAATGATTGTAGAGTTAGGTTTGGAGGCAACTTCCCCTTGATAAGTCCGTCTCCTGCCTGCTCAACAGTCATTCACCTATGCATTTTTAAAAAAAAATTTAGATTAATTTTAATTTGCTAAATTGGTGAATTTATTTTCATGGTTTGTTTTTGCACTTGTTTTACTTATGCTGTCTGAATTTAAATGATAATTCTGAATTTCTGAATTTAAACTTGTTTTACTTATGCTTTCTGAATTTAAATGATATTGTAGATTAATTTGAAAATTAAATCTTTTATATGTTTGCACATTTTTTTTAATTATTTTAACTTTAAATTTGCTTTTTTACACGTATATACATGTTTGTTAAAATTAAATTTTAAATTTCATTCCTTGCAGCAATGGCACAAAGAATTAATTAAATTTGTATTTAAATTCAATTTATTCTTTTGAAACATATATATATTTTAAATCCTTCCTGGTGGAAATGAAAGAGCTCTTCACCAGAGAGTAGACAACAGTTTCATATGATTAATCACTTTTCTGAAAGAATTTAAAAATATTTTTAAGACTAATAGTTAAAAATAAAAAATAAAATTTATTCCCTGTAACAAATCTGCTGGAAATCAGTAAGAATACACAGTGTCAAAATGTAAATACAAAATTAAGAATGAACAAATTTAGTTATAATGGGTAGAAATTGAAAAAAATATTGAAAAACCAAATAAATTTATCATAAAATTTATGAAAAATTCAAACTCAATAATAAATTTTTCAACTTAAAATAAATTTTAAGAAATACAGAAATTTATCATATTTTCAAAATTACAACTGTTTGTAATTATACATGTTCACAGTTGTTGCATTTGACAGCAGCATAATAAAGATGCAATTTTTTTAATATGCATATTTGATAAATTTATTTAAGAACTGAAATTTTTAATATTTAAATTATGAGTGTCTAAACAAAGATGTCTAAAAGAATATCAATGATTACAGAGAAATAATTATGAAGTTTTAATTATAGAACACTAATTACAGTTTTGTTGAACTTGTTCCAAAAACTTATTAGATAAATTCTATTTTTCAAATTTAGCTGGGGAAAACTATTCATTACAAATTTTACTTTCTTATGGAGAAAAATGCTTAAAATTATTAAGAAAATGGAGGGAGGGGTATACAAATATTTTTTTCCTATTACTTTTATGAATCAAACATGATTTTTATTACTTTTAAATAACAGGTTTAGTTCATAAATGGCTCTAGATATCCCAATGTATATTATTAAATTTTCTTTAAATAATGCATCTCTTTCCTGTAGCATTACACAAGTTGTGTAGCTTACATAATACCTAACACTGCCAAGTTGCATAGCTAAATATTTTGTTTCTATTCCTCATTTTAAAACAAAAGTTGGAAAAGAAAGAATATTTTTTCTTATTACAATACAAATTGTGAACAAATTCTATAAAAAATTTTTTTTGCAAAAATCTGGAGCAAAACAGCAATATTTCAGCATCTTTTTACAAACTGGCATTTGTATCAGAAGTGATAATGTCCCTCAGTGTGTGATGCAAAATTTTAATTTCAGCATTAGTAAAGTTCTTTGAAGTAATCAAACTATTCACCTGAAACATAAAAATGACTGTAAAATTGTTTAAAATCAAATTACTTACAGAATACTGTATTTCCAAGTACTCACAGACATCAGGTATTTCTGCTTCCCCAAATGCATAGTTTTTCAGAGATTTCTGATAAAAGAAGAATAAGTAAAGTAAGTATAATACCATACCATTAAAAAAATGAAAGCAAAACAGAAAGGATTTCAGTTTTTAGGAATATATATATCATATATATTCCTAAATATATGTGATATTCCTAAATATATATATATTTTTAAAGTCTTCAACATTTTTGGTGTTATGAAATCAAAACTTTTTTCTTTTAAACCTCATGAAAAAATCCCTACAAAATGAGGATTGCCACTATATTAATATAAATGATATTTATTTTATTGTTTACTACCTGAAGTTAAAAGATTCAACTGATTTAAATTTATTTCATTCATTCAAATATTAACAATCTCTTCCCCCAGATGTTTCCATCAAATAATTAGGCATATACTACACTTTAATTCATTCTTTATCAAATCCATTTTTAACATGGGAGGGGATTTGCAGCAGAACTAAACTTCTGATATCTGCATACATAGTAGGGCCATCTCTCCCCTCCCTTTTTAAAGCACTGAAATACTTGATGGGATTCCTTTCCTCCTTTTAAATTTTGGTATATAGTATTCTTAACTTGAAACTTCACACATAGCACAACACAGAAATGCTATAATCAAAATATCCTCTAAATACTTTGTTTTACAACTTAAACATTACAAAAATAAACAGCTAAATTAGATCATATTTTCTTGATTAATTTTTTTCAATATTATTGATGATTCAGGTTATTAAATATTACTGAAGAATGATTTCATAAAATCATATGGCAATTCCTTTTTTTCTTACTTTTTTGCAAAAATTTGACATTTGTTTCTATCGGATGTCAAAGAGTAAGAAAACACCGAGCTCTAAAACACACCGGAATAGCATTCTTAAACCTATATAAACTTGAAAAATACATACTTTACTTCGAAACTCTGTTATATTCATTTTTTCCATAAATAAATTCACTTCAGAATAAACATCTGGCATGGTAACTGGTTTGTCAGTATCAATTTTCCTCTTCATATCAAATTCCTGATATTAAAAAGAACTACAATTAATGTTTATTTAATTGCGATTAATATACTAATTTTGTTTCCAAATAGTATAGATGGTAATTATAAAAAATACAATTATATATAAGATAGCCTTCAGTTCTAACTATTAGCACAGCAAAACAATCAGAAAACCATAAAAAAGAAATTTCACATTGAACAATGGGGACATTATTTATTTTCTAAAAAAGTTACATTTTAAAAAAAGCTGATTTACTTTCACTCAAAAGTAAGGAATTAAACAGAAATTTCTGGCAGTTTGAAAGTTTTAGCATAAAAAATTTACGAGAATTTACAGACAACCACTAAACAGATGATATTCAAAAATGTGTATCTTATCCTCATCAGTCTATAACATACTAATATCAAGCTATCAGACTCAGCATGAAAGTATAAATGGAGGAACGAGGAGAATTTTTTCATAAATTTACTATAACTGTCTATGAATAAAGGGAGTATATTTGTTTAGTAACAAAAGTATACTTACGTAGCACTTGAAAAAATCAAATTGACAATATTGACAAAGTTTTGAACTTTATTATTGTTGTTATTAAAAGAAAAGTGAGCAGAAAATATGGGAGAAAATACAGTTAATCTAATTTAATTTTTTTTTCTAGTTTTTTGTTATATTTTGTTTTTAATTTCAATTAAAAAAATTTTGTGAGCAAGGTTAATTAATGAGCAAATGAAAGAACAGTAAATTTATGTATTCATTCGGAAGGTTTATTCTTAATGAGAAGAGTAGCTGAACTTGAATCAGTATTTTATAAATGCATTATTGTTGGATGAAAAATATTACTGCATGAGTTTGTATAATTAAAGTATGAAGATAAAAAAATATTAGGATTTATAATTAAAATAATCATAAAACTAAAGTTCTAAGGCGAAAATCTAATAATCACTGATACAAAATTCTGAGAAGTATTTCTGAATTAATAACAGTTTGTAATTCCAACTTAACAGAAGAAAATGATTGGCATGTTACAGAAATATCAATAAAATTACCACTTTTTAAAATAAGCTTTTACAAAGTACCTTTGGAGATAACTTTTAAGAATTATTCAGAACTGCATTCTAAATTAGGGAAGAAACACTTCTACTATAAAACTTGGAATTTGCTAAAAAGAATTCCATTAAACAAATATAATTTTTATTCAAATTCCATTAGCCAATTTTTCCCATATTCAAATTTCATAAGCCTATTTTCTATTAGCATGGGCTTAAAGTTGATAGAAAATGTGAAAATATTATGTTAGTATGGCCATCAGTTCCTATATCATTGGATATGCCATTAATCATTAGCTCAATATGCTGCAAATTTGGAAATGAAAAAAAATAACCACTTACATTATAGCATAACAAAAGTTTATTAAGATCTTTTGAATAAGCAGCCACAAAAAGAAAAAACTAAGTGAATATCCAGTTTTCTTTAAGTTATTTACACAGTTCCAGAGCATGTTTATAAGTACAGTGAAATCTCACCAAGCAGATATCTCTAAAACTGACTAGTAATTATTAGAATCTAAATAAACAATGGTACTGAACATTATCTTTTTAAGGCAACTACTTCTGCATAAGCCAGGAATCATGGGTTGTTATTTTAGAAAGGTTTAACTGCACTACAAAATGATAAAACAACTAAACACATAAATACAATTATTATCTACAATTTAAAAATCCTTCAAATCATGCAATTACACACAAAATTTTAATAAAACAAAAATTAAACAATAACAATCTATTAATATATACAAAATAACATAAAACAGTTAAAAGCCTATATACAACAAGAGAAATATGGGGGGAAAAAAAGAAACATCAATATTTACATAAAATAACAATACTTTGTATGCAAATGTCAATAAATACATTTTATAGTTAAACTAGTATCAAACAAAAATTTATTTTCACCCTATAAAACAAAGACTGGAGCCTTGCTTTTAAGTACAGATTCTGAAAATTCTGGTGTGAATCTTGCCATCATTATAAAGTAAAATTTATTAGCTTGCACTTTCTCTTTTTAATATAGCAAATGCTTCACATTAACAGATTCTTTTGGATCATTAAATCAGAGATTTGTTTTAGGACAATTCAAGCATATAATTCATATTCAAGTATACAATATTCTGTTAGTCTCAATAGCTGAATTGTATATCAAATCTGTTACAGTGATACATCTATCACAAGTTAAAAAAAAAAGTCATTTCTAAATTAAGATATTATTTTATATATAACCTCTGACAAAATGAAGAAAGAAACTATTTTATGGCAATTTTTTTTTTCTCTCTCTTTTTTACAAAGTTGCTTACATTATTACTCCTAAGCAACTTCCACGAGATGCATATTTACCCTTGTTACTGCTATAGATTATTTACAATAAATCACAGTAATGATGAAAATACACTGAATTGTACACAGCTCTAGAAGGACTATAATATTAGTTATGGAAAGGTATAGCTAAATAATGGATTGAAATAAATATCAGGAATCGAACTTCGCCAGGAATCGAACTGCAGACTTCTCAATTATGACTAAACATGCAGACCACCACACCACGAAGGCGGGAGAAATACCTTATATATTCCCCCTTTTAAAGGGCGACTTTTTTGGGGGGAGGGGAGCCAATGGCCAAATCCTAGGTGAGGAGAATCATCATCCAACACCCTTTTAGTTTGGACGCCACTGCAGAGACATTATTTTGGGGGGAGGGAGCAGGAAGATGAAAAACTAGAATCGCCTTCGCTGGGAATCGAACCGCAGACCTCTCAATTATGTGCTGAGCGTGCAAACCACTACATCACGAAGACAGGAGAAATATCTTATATACTCCCCCTTTTAAAGGGCGACTGGTGTTTTTAGGGGACCCAATCGCCAAATCCTGGATGGGGAGAATCATCATCCACCACCTTTTTAGTTCAAGTGCCAGTGTAGAGACATTAAGTATTTTTGGGAAGCAGGCAAGATGAAAAATTAGCAATGCCTTCACCGGGAATCGAACCGCGGACCTCTCAATTATGCGCTGAGCGTGCAGACAACCACACGATGAAGGCTCGCAAAGAAGGTGGGAGAAATACCTTATATAGTAAATAAAAGACTCAAGGAATAAAATTATCTCAATTAAAAATTTAATTTTAATACACAACTAAAAGGAAAATACAATACAATACTAATATTTTTAATACTTTTTAAAAAACTTTTATTAAGACTTAAAAATTCACTTTTGTACTCACAGTCTCTCTAGGTAACACAAATGCTTGTCGTGGTATGTCTTTTACAATCACACAACAGCTAACATATGCTTTTTGCTCTTCTAAATAAACTTTCCCAAATAAATATACAGTTCCTTAAAAAGAAAGAAACTTTGAGACAAACAATAAAATGCATAGTTTAATTTAAAGTGGTTTTAATCGCAAGTTATTACCTACCCCCCAAAAAAATCAAATCAAAAGTTTATTAAAATTATTAAAAAATCTACACGAACATTTTTCTCTTTCACATGCTAGTGTTTTCTTACATAATTAAAAGTTAAAAAAAAACCCTATAATACCTACACTGCTTTTTTTATGTTTATATACAGAGGGTATTTACACAGTTTTAGGATGGCCCTTTAATTATTGTATAAAACATAAAGATCAAATTTTAAATGTTTGACTTAATAGCCTTTTTTCTGGATTGTAACTCTGTATCATAATTTCCATTACAGAAGGGGTTTTGTAAAACATCCCCGAGCTATAGATTTTTATGACTCTTCCACTACTTTCCAAAGTTCATAAATCATGATGGGTTTGGCTCTAGAAAGAACTCATTCCAAGAGACCAAAGGTCTAATACTCCATACATGACACATCAGAAGACTTTGCAAGAAAACACTGAAAAGGTGTATATGCAATACAGTCGAATCTGGTTAATTGGATCACCGGATAATCGGACCAGCCACTTTTTACCGCAACATAAAGTTCATAATTACATTTTAGTACATTATTTACATGTATATTTACTGTTTGCTACATATAGCACGTCTCGTCATACAACATAGGACATGTTCGTATAATCGGACCAGCCGGTTATTAGAACCAAAACGATCGCTTCCTGATATGGTCCAATTAACCTGAATCGACTGTACCTGTATCAGTCTTCATTTTTTCAAGGAATGCAGTAGTGCTTTTCTCAAGTACAACTTGTTGCTTTGTCTTGATGAAATTTCATGCTTTTAAAATCTTTGGGATAAAGAAATGTAACCTTTAAAATATCAGACATAAATAAATATCCCTGTAAAACTTTCTCTTGAAAATACATAGAGTTGATTTTAACAAAGCCCCCCCCACACACACACTTTTCTTATTTTTAAGTTCCCACTGTTAGATAATCGTGGGACAATCATAAGCCTCTTATTGAAACTTTCTCTGCATTCCTGAAACCAGATTTGCACATTTTTTCTCTTTGTTTTCATTAATAAATACATCTTTTTTGCTGTAGTCATTTTTGTAAATCCATGCTTTATCAAGGGTCACAATGTACTTCCATCCATAACCTGCTAAATTGTTTTCATACAGAGTTCTACAAATTGTCCCCCCCCCCCGCTACAAACTGCTTGGACTTATGTCTTGGCAAAAGAGGATGAACATTATGTTTTTTTAACCTTTTTAAGTTGTAAATCTTGTTTTATTATTTTATTTATTGTTGCTGCAGATGTATTTAAAGACTTTGCAATTACTTCTGCATTGGCAGATTTTCTCTTATCACCAACACTTTAACTTTAGAAACATTAGAAACTGTATATATCTTTTTTAGGGGTATTTGGTTGGAGTCTTCTTTCCATGAAGAAATAATTATTGACTGCTTTTCCCTTCCTGATTAATAACGTTGCTTATTTTGCACTTCAAAATTTTAACATGCATTTTACAACACTTTTTGAATTATGGAACAAGAATATTTCTCTTCGGAAACCACAAAAAACATACCCTTTAATTCACACCTTGTTTAAATGTGACATTTTGAAAGAAGCATGTAGTCTTAAAAGTTGTAGATGATATTTCTCATTTTCAGGTAATGAGCTGTTGCCAGAAATTATTCCAAAACATTTGCTTTTTTTGGGGGGGGGGCTCTTTGTTGAAATTGTTCTAAAAATGTGTACTCACCCTCAATATATTACATATGTATTAAAATTTGAAAGGAAAAAATATTCTGTACTAGAGACATATTTATGGCCTTTACTTTCCTCAACACTGTATTTCATAACTGCATTAAGATGTACTAATGTTTATTACATGTTATACTCAATTTTAGTATGTTTTAGCAATTTGTCCCTAATTCTATTACAGTAGATGCCTGCAAATTTGACTCCCAATAACTAAGTATTTAATAAACTCATTCCCTGTCTTTACCAAGCCTCCACAAAATCTATCTGAGGAGGATTCAATTCTTCTAAAGTGTTAAGTGGTTATTTCTTGGACCTTGAGGAATTCACAGTAATAGATAACAGTATCCCTACCTTCAAAGGAAGTTTCCCATTTTAGTCAGCCAATCAAGAAAACTTTTTTTAAAGTTTCATAAACACAACATAATTGTTATTTTTGAAAGAAAATATTCTTTATTCATTTTGCATTAAAAGTGTTTAACAGACAAATTTATAACAAAGTATTAGCTTTGTATATAATTTTAATACACTAATTTGCAGTAACATGTGATTTGTCATCTACTTATTTCAGACTGCAATGAGTTTGTACGGTTTATTAAAAAATATAAATAAAAATAAATTAATTTGATAAAAATTAATTTGAGATAAGGAGTAATGGCAAACTTAAAACAAATAAAATTACAAACCAGCAAAATAAATATTTTAAATAATTTTTAATCTTTAATGTAATCATTATGAATGAATATTTGACTTTCGATACAAAATAAGATTTTTTAATATAAATGTTAATATTTTAAAAGTTCAATTATTATCATAAATCATTACATATTACATTAAAACAGAAAAGTATATTCATAGTAAATTGGTAAAATGACATTAGAAGTCCTAAATTTTATGTGAAACACTAAATAACAAGCAAATATAATTAACAAAGATTTAGAAGTAGATTATTTTTCAGAATCAAACATATCAAAATACAAAACTTAAATATGCCCATACTTATGAATATATTTCTTGATGTGACACGCTATGAATATTTTTAGGATATTAAAGTACTGCTTAATTTGACTTTCATAATCTCTTAAAGCGTATGCTACACTATTATAAACTCAGTCTTATTTTTCTTGCATGTTACAAATTAATATGAATGTGCACACATTATAAGTAATATGGTTTCAGTTATCTTAGAAGATATAGAAAATTTAGCCAGAATACTGCATACCTTACATAAAAGGATTCACCTCAAAATAACTTATATACAGTGAAAAATATACATTAAAGATTAAATTCTATGTATGTTAAAAAAGTAAGAATTTAATCTTCCATTTAAAAGAGCATACACAGATTTTTTTAAAATTAACATGCCAATTAATTCTTCAAGAAACATATACAGTCTTAATTACGCAACTAAAATGATTTTATAGGGGGAAAAAAGCTTTGGTATTTACCAGGACTTTTATATTGATCTTCAAAAGCATCAAGCCAAAACATTCTTAAGACAGAATTCCCGTCTTCATTTATAATTAAAGGAAGACGATCTGAATCTAATTGTATATCTGGAATTGCACTATAAAGAAAAATATATTATAAAAATTTAAATGTACAGAAATTAAAAATACACTACACAAAAATTTTATTTCTCATTCAAATATAAATACATATCAGGCATGAGTTATTAAATTTCTTCAAAGAAACTAGAATTAAATATGAACAAAGGATGAGTAGCTACAAATCTAATCATAAAAATTCATGAATTTATCCAAACTAAGGATATAGGTATTTTGAATCAAATGACTTCAGATAAGTCAAATTACAACAACAGATAAAGCTCAACACATAAACTTTTGTGAAATTTCCCTCACAAAATATTTGCAATTTCCTCTAGAAGTACCTGCAGAGTTACAAAAATTGGTTTAACAATTATTAGTTAAATATTATCCAGTTTCTGATTTGTGCGTGTGTGTCTATATATAATGCAGAAAATTAATATAGTCTGAAATCTATATTAATTTTCTGTCTATATTAATTTTCTATATTAATTGTCTGGATATCAGATACTGATATCCAGACATCAGTATCTGGAATGATCTGAAATTTGAATCTTCAAAGCAATAGCATCCTTTTTTACTACTATCGTTTTTTATCTAAGTGCATTTGCACAAGGCTAAAAGTTATAATATAAAAGCTGCCTTATTTTAAATAAGAAAATGAATGTTGGAAATATTTTATGATTAATATTTTCATTGGGTCACTAAATAGTAAAAATGATCTGCTGTTTAATCAAGTATAAAATCATAAATTTTCAAAGACTAGTAACTTTTGTTTTACAGGTTCTTTCTAAATCTGGCTGAAGTTGTTTTAAAGTTAAGTATAAGATGTGATCTACATCAACAAATCTGTTTTGAAATATCTTGTATTTAGCTCATAAAAGCACATTCCTTACTTTATTAATTTAAATGGGTATTATATAAAAATCATATTTTTTTGTATTAAAAGAATTGTCTTTTAATATCTTATATAAAAGTTCAATAAACTCTTTAATCTACATTATATGCAAAATTTTAGCTTATGAGAAAAAATGTTTATTGTTTATCTATAATATTTTTTATTACATTATATAAGGATTACTATCTATAACGTGCTTAATAAAACTTACTTGTCACAGTTTGTCTTTAGACTACCTTGAAATGAGGATAAAATTTTAGAAGACTTTTCTTGAAAATCAGTTACAGATTCATTTTCTTTCTGAGATGATTTATTCTCTGTATCACAAAAAATATCAGCACTTGGATCTAGGGGGGAAAAAACTTTGAAACATATATACTCAATTTAAAATATCCACAGAATTTCTATTTCGATCATATTTATACAGTGAATAATTATTCCGCACCTTCCCCAGTGAACACACATAAGTATCAGCTAGCCACAAATTAATACTAGAAAAATGAAAAAACAAAGAGGTAGGTTTTATCTCACACGTTTAGCTCTGTTGGATCTGTTAAACCCCTATCACATCTAGCGACATGCATGACTAGGTGGGATATTTCTGAGAAAGGAGATTCTGTTAGCAATGGTTGAATGGGAGATTCCAAGAAAAATCAGCATGACCAGGGGTCGTTCTGTCTAGCCGAGGAAACGATGTCCTGGCTACGCATGACATTTTGAAACTTTGCTGAAAATGTTCCATTTGCAGTAGTGTCCCGCATAGAGATCAATGAATCAGACAAAAATTCTGCATCTGAAGGATCACAGGTAATTTCCAATATGGCAATAGTTATAGTTTGATGTCATGAACGATAGAAATGGAAGCCGATTTTATTGAAGAAATACGAAAAAGAAACTACACTTGTAAGCTGCATTTTTATAGCAACTCGTACTGTTCTGTTACCAAGACCGGAGTTGTCGCCAAGTGTTTTGCCAAACTCACTAAGAGATTGGTTCTTATGAAGTCGCCAATGTTTACTTCTAAAATCATTATAAAGTTGACTTTTTTAAGATAAAGTAAAAGTAAAACTTTTCAAAACTGTCAACGAGAAGGCAAATTCTAAAGATGTAACAGTCACTTGTGTTTTTATTATTATTGTATTTACCATAGATTTTGAGATTTGGATTTGCCTAATGATGAAACATCTTTCATACAATTTCTTCAGGGATGAGGAATTATTCAGTCTGAAAAAAAAGCATGAACCACCACCCCTTTTTTTCTGAATTCTTCGGAAAGTTGTTCAGATTACATTAAAAAATACTAATTTTAAGACTATCTGTTGTAATGTTTTCACTTCGATTTTTCTTTAACTTAACCGTTCTGTAAATATTTTGATGGTTATTTTTAGGCTTCAAATTTTCTGCCAGATTATTAGCTTTTGACGATATTTGAATCCGGTAAAGATAACAGAACAGTACCTAACCATCCAAGTCATTTTTAAAATGTTTATATACTAATTAAATTTATAATCATCGAAATTTCAGAGTAGGCAGCATTTTAGAACATTCTTGTACTTTTTCATGACTTCTTTACAAATTTTTTGTTGGTAAAATTGTTATATTTCATATTGACCCATAACACGCCATGTAGAAATATTCTCTTTGTTATATATGAAGAGAATTTGTTTTTACTAAACTTAAAGTGATTAATTTTTTTAATTCTAATTATATATGCATGACTTTAAATTTTTACCAATTACTTATAATTTAAATTGTGTATTGCATAATCAGTGACATATTGTAAACAACATAAAAGGTACATAAAAAGGAAAACATAGCTTATATAATAATGAGAATACTCATTATATTTGTATACTATTATTTTTATGTTACTAATAAAACACTTTTTAAATTATAAATACATTAGAAACTATACTTTTATAATAAATGCTATATATTGAAACATTTGCAGTGTTCGTACACATTTCTGCTCACGGAAATTAAGTACTTTTAAGGACCATTAATAAAAAAAATTAAAGGCCTATGAGCAAATGGGAACTGAATAAATTCTATACAAAAATATTATCCAAGCCTGAACTTTTGTAATACCATCGTAAAAATACATAGATCTGTAAGTAGGATGCATTATTAGTAAACATAGCTTAATTAACATAATTATAATTAAGGTTGAGAATAAAATAAACTTTATGAAATTTACCAAGTGGCATTAAATATTTTACATTTATAATAGCTGTACATATTTGAAAGAAGTGGCATTTTATTTATGTTTCACTAACAGTTAGCTTTATTTATTTATTTTTTTGTCACATACCTGCTCAGTCTAGAGGTTTAGTAAATAGCAGGTAGATTTAATGTAAAGCGGCATAGGTTAAAATGATAAGTAAAATCATAATAAGCATGATTCATAACAAAAGACTGCCTGTTGTCACTGCTGCTACTTGCCTAGAAAGAGACCTGCTGATCAGAACAAACCTGAAAGGCATGATGTAGGCACGGTTGAGAAGTTTTGAAAGTTAGTTGGGCTCTGTATCGTAGCTTCATGTCGTAGTTCCAGAAGTTGTAACCCATTAAATATACTTTAAGGTTTCAATAAGCCACTAAAGCACCAGAGGTAATATGCAGAGATAATTTTTAAAGGTAAGCAGTTAGTTATAAATAATTAAATTAGGTAGCTAGCTAACCTTAGTCATTACGTATTTACATGGCCACTATTACATTTTATTTATTTTTTTAACAATATTTGTTAAAAAGCCCTTTTAAAATCCCAATCTAATAAAATTTCACAGTTTGAAATATATGTAATTTATGACATTGATTCTTAAATGATATTAGGATAATTACACAATAAAAGCTACAAAACATTTATGTTTTGTACAATAACACTCAGCAAAATATTTATGTGTGTTTTTTAATCTGAAGCCTTCCAAGACATTTTGGCTAATTTATATCAATTTCCTTCTCTTTAAACATCTTTTCTAACAATTAAAAATTTGTCTCAATATGCAAATCAATATTCTCACTAGTTTCTGCTATGAAGTCACACAAAGGTTTAAACAAGCCTCTTCTTTAAAAAGGACTTAACATAAAGGCATGTTCTTATGTTAACAAAAAATAATTACAGCTCGTGGTGAGGTAATTAAACAACAACAGCCAAATTCAAACTAAAAATGTGGACTAGTTGTCAAAGGCTATACAATTTAATTTTAATTTAAGCTGGTTCAGTAACTCTATCATCATAACAAATTCAAATATTGGCAGCAATAATGCAAAGATGAATAATTACAAATTATCAGAGCTGGCAGGAACTAATGCCACGAGCAAGTAGAGGTCAGGGATTTAATTAAAGATTTCTGTTATTAAAAAAAAAAAAAAAAAAAAAAAAAAAAAAACCCACTTCTCATTTTATTTCTTTAGTAATATGAGCATTCAGAAGAAATATGAAATATATATGGTAAGGGCTGGTTACAGAGCTGGTGTGGCAAAACTTTTAGAATTTAGAGACACACCAAGCTACAAAATCTAGAAATGGCAAAACTTTTATAATTTAGAGCAGGTGTTGGAAATAAAATTTAGAAAGGCACTAGGCATCACAATTTAGGATCCACAGAGATTGTATCAGGTGGGAAAATGCCTAGTGCCAGCCCTGTATAAAAATGCATTAAGACATATTAGATGAATCTTTTAAATTATCAGTTTTCAATTTTTTATTAATGAAAAAATCCCTTTCTATAATGCCAGTCCATGTAATACAATTAGAAGCATTTCTGACATTTCCCATGCTTGTGTCTAGTGAAAAGTAGAGAAAATAAAAGGAAGATAAACATTCAAATATTATGTTTTGATATATAAGAAATTAAAAAATAATAATTAATATAAGATATTAATCATAAACATTTTGTAAAATACATATATTATGTGTTAATACTATTGAGACATTTTTCATTTTGTCACATTTTTCTGAAATCTTCCACAATCGTGCGCCTATAAATCTTGTCTTCAAATCTTTCTAAACTTTCCAAGCTGCAATGGCTTAGAAAAATAACTCCTACCAATTCTGTAACAACAAAAAGGCAGAAATATTTTGGAAAAAAAAAGTCAGAGGGAAAAAGTGTAAAATTAATTTTATAGAGAGAAAACTGATAATTCTGAATATTTTGAGACAATTACATGGGAAAACTCTTACCATGAAAAAATTAAAAAGACATTTTTAATTAATTACATAGCTTTTTTGGTCTTGCTAAGAACTGTTTCATAAATTGTGCTTTATAGCATTACACACCTTGTTTATTTTTCAGATTCAAAATATTGTATAATAAGTGGCCAAAATGGAACTTTATAATATGACAGCAACAATTAAAAATTTTTTATTTCAATGTTATTTTTAAATCTAATTTCAATATATTACCATTATTTTAATGAAATTTATCAATGTTTTTAAAAAAATTGTCAAAAAATTCCCAGATATCGGAATTAAAAATTTTTTAGAGAAACTGATCTTAAAATCACCAAAATGTTGACGAGTCGACAAATTTAGAACTGCTTTAATAAAAGCATTCACATCCCTAAAAGTGAAAGTTGTTTAAGAGCTCTTCATTAGAAAAAAAATAAAATAATTTCAAAATGCTTATGTTTCACTTCTTCCTCAGAAACTTTAGTATCCCACCATTTATATTAGAAATACAAACAAATTATATCCCACGAACCCATTCAAAAGATTACCGTATTTGTCAGTGAATCGCCAAAAATATTCCTCCAAAATGCTAATTCACACTCAAAATTGCAGTCTTAGAAACACAGAAATTTTAAATGATTAAAATTAAGGACCACCTTCAGCTGATTTTGGCTGAAATTAAGAATTTTTAAGGACCAAAAATCGATTTCAAAAACCCTAAAGACTTTTAAGGCCTAAGGACCATACGAACCCTGATTTGAAATTTATAGATTTATTACATTCATTAATATAAATCTTATTCATTACAGATAATACTAATAACATCCATCAACAACTTCTAAACCATCGCATCTCTCTCTATATACATATGTAAATATATGAGTTATTAGATGTGTATTTATATGAATATAAAAATGAAAACTGCCAAAATATTATTTGAAGTCACTTCTAATTCATATAATTATCATGTAAATGACAGCAACAGTACTTATCAGTTATTTGCACACTACCCTGGCTATGGAATACACAGTAGAAGATTAATTGATGAGCATAGACACAAAAGACTGTACACATTTTGTTTTTGGGATAATACATAATTATATCCTATGTATGATTAACATAATTAAGCATGGCTTATAACAAGAAATTTAATAGCTATGCATTTATAAAATAAACCTGTTTACGAAGTGAAGATGGTAACACAACTATGTAGCTTTTGTAGAAATGGGAGGGGGGTCTGAAAAATGTCTCTTTTGACGCCTTTTTTCGGCTAGCAAAGGCAGATGTGACAGCAATTTTGTCCATATCACATTTTCTACCCAACCTTGTACATATATAGATATATAACAAAATGTATATTATGCACATAATAAATAATGTTTATGCAGCATTTGAGCTAAAAACAATCAAGAAAAATAAATAAAAATTTAGAAAAGAATAATTTTTAAAAAAAACCATACCAAAATTTATATCTTCTTCAAAATCTTCATCAATAAGGACTTCTTCTTCAACTTTAGGTTTAAAATCAGGATTCTGGGAAAATTCTTCAATTATTTCTTCTTTGAGATCATTTTGTTCATTGTCTACATAGTCAAAATCAACTACTTTAGGTTGAAGTGGCTTTCGAGGCAAAGTAGTGGCAGGTGATGTGTTAGTAGTAGGAATTTTTGGAACAAAATCAGATGCCAAAGGACTTTTATATCTGTCATCAAAATTAGGAGGTTCATATCTGAAAACATAAAAAAAATATAAAATAATAGTGCATAATTTTGCATACAAATTAATGATAAATACATATATTTACCACAATAAACATAACACAGTTCTATGAATTATTATCACTATATATTTTAACAAAATGATACATACAGTTGATTCTAACTAAAAGAGCTACCAATTAACTGGGTCAGCCATTTATTTGGGGCAAATCTTGTAGAAAAAAACACACACAAAATGGTCAAGATTTCTTTTGCTTATTTATTTGTTACTAACATGTTATTTAAATGGAATATCTGCCACTTTCAAATATAATTTTCTCCAAATATTTAGAATTTTATTCAGATAAAAATCATACGAGCAAAAAACAATTAATTAACAATCCATTATTTGTTTTAAAAATACAATTTTCAAATTTTCAGCTCTGTAAAGATTTTCTTTTCACAGAAGGATAATAATGCATTTGAATTTATGCAGATTAATACAAAAGATGCTCTGAAATTTACTGAGCAGTTTTTAACAATATTTCATGAATTATGGAAATAAATGCATTCTATTTTCTGCATTAATGTATGTTTTTATATTACTTAACACAAATCAAAATACATGGCAGAATACTCTGTACAAAATCTCCCAACAGAAATTCTTAGAAGCAGCATTAACTATGTATCTGTCTATCACATATATTAAATGCTTTTTGAATATCTAGCACTTTCTAAAAATTGTAGTCCAAAAATAAATTATTCTTACAACATGGTTTGATAACTGAGGAAACTGTGACATGACAATCCTATAATATAGTTTCATTCCGAAATAATTAAATAAAAATGCCCTATTAAAAATTTAATTTAAGCTAAACAAATTTTTTAAAAATATGCATGTGAATATCGAAAATAAAATATTTGCAAATATAACTTATTCAGAAAGCTACCATAGAAAGATTATAAAATGTCCATGTGTTTTTCATGTATATGATATTAATTATCTTTAGAAATCAATCACTTATTGGTTTAGTTTAGAATAAAATCTAGAATGTCAGTTCAATCCAGAAAACAAATTTTCAAAAATACATAAAATTGTAATAGAAAAACTGAAGACATTAAAGATATGGTGAATTATTAATTCAGCAGATGATAGTTTTGATGAAAATCTGAAGTTATCCTAAAATGTGTGCAAGAAAATAGAAATTTAACTAAATAACTAGAACCATATTTTAAAAATATAAATCCTTCAACAAAAGAAATACATTCAACACAGAACTTAACATATGCTTAGCTGTATTCTGTAATATTCATATACAGAATACAGTTAAGCATATAAATTACATATTATGAATATTACAATATACATAATGAATTATCTAGAAAATGCAAATAAATGAGTAGAGCAGACTTTATGGAAATATAAAATCAAAATGTTTAAACACATTCCTTTTTTTTTTATTATTATTATGGAAAATCATTTTTATGATGATTTTGTTCAAAGCTTCAGAAAAAAAGTCATTTTTGATGTTTATTAGCAAAGATGAAGAGCGGGGGCACTAGCATAATATTTTAAATAAAGATACTTATATCCATTACAAAGTGCATTAGTGCACTGTCTATTAATTTTTTATGGCTATTTTTCCCTCATTCTTAATTTTTTGTTTAGCATATAATTGTGATTAAAATTATTTGGAAAATATCCATAGAATGTAAAAATTGTTATTTACGAATGTAAGATTTATGTTATTTCCCAAGCTTTATTTCATCCCACCAAAACCATAATGCACTTGTGCCAGTAGGTTTCACTCCCCCTCCCCAATCCTTGAAACATGTTTTAATATGGCTTTAATAAAACTTGTTCAGAATTTGAGGTACTTTTTTTATTGCATAAATAAAATCAAATGTCCATGAACTTGCAGTTTTAACAATCGAGATATGAAAAAGTTTCTTAGTGCCATATCACACAAAAACACACTTTTAGGCCAAAAATTCGTAAATAATAACAGCATTGCAAGAGATGTCATGAAAAATTAACAAGTTATCTCCCCATAATTCCGGTTGCATTTCTAGGAAAAAATCCCGCAAAAACTTTCATGTGATACTTTTTATTAACACTTTGGTCAAATTTTAGAAATTCTTGATGCATAGCACCATGATAGTTCAAGAAAACAACCAATACTAAACTGATTTTTGAATGAATGATATAAGCTTTCAATTTTGCTTCACCTTTCAACTGCTATTTACTCAAATGTTCAGCAGTCCCTGAATCAAAAGGTTAGAAGTATGTTTTATCACCAGTAATAATGCACAAGGGATGTTTTTAAAATACGTATCATCTGGAAATAAAAAAGAAACAAGCACATTTTCTTACCAATTGTATTTTAATATGAAAGCCTGTACCTCAATCTGTTTTTCTACAAAATTTCCGAAAATATTAAGATCACACAACCAGTTTTTGAATACCCTTTTCATAGAAGTCTGTTGCCTGATTTGAAACACACTGCAACATGGCTGTTTTGACCTCATCATCATCGGTGTGGCAAAGACCACCTAAATGCTTCTTCGAATGTAGGACCAAGTGGTAGTCACTGAGAAATAGATCAGGACTTCATGGAGGTTAATCAGTTTGTTCCTAGCAAAATGAGGTCTAGTTTTGTGCACCTCTGTCAATATTTTTGTACCCAGTGTGCGCATAATTTTTAATAATTTAAGTGTTTGCTCTCAATTTCATATAATACACTGTGTGAAACCTTAGGAAAGTTATCAAATAATGACAATCTTGCAAAACATCTGTTCTGTTTCACTTGTCCATCAAGTTTCTTCATCAAATCTTGATTAATGACAGAGGGTTGTCCACTTTGTTCATATCATAAACACATGTGCAGCCATCTTTAAAAGCCCTAGCATTCCCGCACCATTGTGCTGCTCATAATGTACACTTTACTAACATGACGAATTTTAGCAGCTTTCACATCTTTAGCACTAATAAAATGAATCACTGATCATATTTCACACTTGGTGGGATTCTCAATCAGCAGAGCCATTTTAAATACTCGAAAACAAACATTAACGTTGCTAAAAGTTCCCACAATAGCTCTTGTGGCTTGCCAACAGATGTAGATAAAGAGCACACATGCATGGATTGCTGACTGAAGCACTGCCAAGCTGAAATTTGAAAACCTTTAAAAACATGTCTCGTACTTTAAGAAGCATTTGCCTCACAAAAAGCCTCTCCAGAGCCATTGAAACCTGCTGTTGTTTTAGGAAAAAAATTCAATGCTTTGGAGCATTTCAAGAAGTAAAGCACTGTTATCAAAATCAGTAATCCTTCAGAACTGGATAATAACATCTAAATGATACAGAAACTTGTTCAATACTCTCATTGTTCAACAATGTTCATTCAATGACAAATCTCCGATATGAGCACTGCCTTGCTCATTAGTTGAAGTGGACAATTTTCCACATCATGCTTTATCTTCAACACATTCTCTGTCTCTCTTTAATATGTCAAATCCCCAAAAAGCTCTTCAAATATTTCTGTGGCAGAAATTCCAGTGTGAAAACAAAATTTAATGTGCATCCTTTGTTTAATGGTATCTGCTTGTTTAGGGTGTTGCCAAAGCAAAAATTCCATTTCCAAAAAAAACTGAAATTATTTGCTAATAATAATAATAATAATAAATTTTTAAAAAAATGAAATATAGATTATTGCCAGATGATGATAAAGGTCTAACTTTTGGAAAATCTATGGAAGTGATTTCTGGCATGTGATTGTTTTAAATCAGCACTTCTAACTCTGACTTCAAGAGAACTCCAGAGTTTTACGGAACATGCACAATATTACTGGTGATAAAACATACTTCTACACTTTTGATTCAGGAACTGCTGAACAAATGAGTAAATAGTATTTGGAACACTAAATGGAATAATTCATTTCAAGGATTTCCATTCATAGAAATTTCAATAAATAACAATTCACTCTTTTTAATAATAACAAATAAAGCAGTATAAAGACTTATATTTTATTCATCACTCTGATTATCAACAATAATATGTGCTTAAAGCAGATAAGTATTTTTAAAAAAATTAAATTAAAAAAAATTGAGGCATAGTCTTTCTGAATTTCAGATTTATCAGATTATTTTAAAACGTCTAGATACCTTATATTAATTTTACACGATAACTTGCCTTTTTACCAATTTTTAACTCGCCTCCCATTATTTATGGCACTGCTTATTTACATTGTAACACTTTAATCTACAGTTACAAGCAATTTAAATACTAGTTACAACACCGCATTTTTTTACTGATATAGAATTGTAAACTTTAAATGGAAAACATATTAACATCAAATCATTAAACACTAAATCTTGTCTATTGGTTTGATGTCTTTTTCTGCCTTTGTCTAAGAACTTTAACTTACTTATCCAAACCTGAGGCAGATGCAATTACAGAAATATATTTTAGCATCTACTTTTATTAATAAACATTATTTTACAGTCATAAATGACGACTTTGCGAATTGGTTAAAAACTTTATCTGTAATCTTTAGACCTCAAAATTACTATTATGCTTATAAATAATAATAAAAACAAGTATTTTATAAGAAATCTTATGAGAAAGAACAAAAATAAAATATTATAACTGTATGGCTGATATTTCCATTTTTGCAGCAGGTGAATACTGTTCAGGAAAATTCCAGCTAAATATAAATAGCGTAAATCCACAAGTACTGAAATTTGTGAATGATATGCACATGCGTGGGTTGGCTGGTGTTGTACGTATACATGAAAATGAGATAAAAAGGTGAAAATTCTACTGAATATTGAAACTAGGGGTGCAAATAATCAGGAAGTACAAAATTTTCTTATATTTTTAATAATTGTAAGAAATATAAATACTGTGCATGATAATGTTTTGCACATCTTAGTTTTTATTTAAACTAATTATCTACAAAATACTCAATCTTTTACTAAATGAATAAGTACCGTGCCCTTGGAGAATGATAACTTAGTTTATGCTTTTTTCGAAGCACCATTGGTTTCGGAGTATAGACTTCAGGTACAGCCTCTTTATGCAAATCTTCCATAATACTCCCGAGAATGTCATCCTCTTCCAGTTTTATATCTTGCTAAAAGAATAAATTATGTATAAATCACAAATTCATCTAAAGAAACCATAAAAACTAGTTTTTTGAATTTAAGGAAAACCATACCAAATTACAAGGCAGATGCAATAATTTTTTAAAGAAAGTTAAAATGTTAGGAAAAAATATAACTTGCATTTAAAAGAAGTTTAAAATTATCACTCTTAACAAAAATAAAATATATATAAAAATCACTGAATCCTTTCTAAGACAAGCTATGGTTCGAAACATTTTGGTCTTTTGTGAAGATTGTCATCAAAATTAATCACTTATGGAGAATAAGTTTTCAGAAAATTTATCAAGACATATGTCTTACTGTTTTAAAAATGACATAAATGTGTTTATTTTTTAAATAATTAAAGTAACCATAACACATGTATTATGTAATACAGGATCTAAAAGTAGTCTTAAAATTCATATTTTTAGCATATTTTAATCACATTAAATTACCTCCATTTTTCTCTTTACAGGAAGAGATTTAAACATGTTTTTTATATCTGAAGATTTCGATGCATTTCGCTTCTCAGGTCCAGCAAAATTATTCTTCTTCGGCAGCTGTTTGTTCTTTTTATCTACACAGAAAAGAAAAAATGAATGAAATTAGAAAACAAAATATCTGATGTGGACACCACATGACTTCCTTGTACGACTTACTACATTAAACACATGTTTTGCTGCTTTTCATTTAAACTTATTTCCTCAAATTTCATTAAGATATATTTCTCATTCAATTAAATTCAGTTTTCCCTTCGCAGTAAGGCAAATATACATAAAAACTCATAACATTGCAAAATACAGAAAACCTAAAATACCAAATACAATCATAACAGTTAAAAAAATAATTCTTTTTTTTAACAATTAAAATTAGAGTTTCTATGCAAAAACAAGCAATTCGGCCAGTAGACAGAAAGACATTTTGGGTGCACAGAACTGAAAGTTAACTTTTGGTCTCACATGGCAAAAAGATACTAAAGTTGGTGTAACAACGAAGGGAGGTACACAACTTACTTCACTATTCTGCTATCAGACTCAAATGTAAACAAACTGCAGCCTTATTAGGCATAGTGTCACTTACACTTTTAAATTACTAATAATTCTAGAACTACTGCAGGCAGAGTAACAAAACGCACAAAGCTCTTAAATGGAGCATAAGAATAACATAATTCAATCACTTCTAAAGTAAAAAATGCACAATTTACCAACATATAAGAATAAGAAAATTGAGCTCACCGAGCCAGTTAACAGAATATGTTTGGTGATATAAACATATATATATATATATATGTGTGTGTGGGTGTTTGGTGCCGCCAATTGCAATGGAGAAGGGAGGTACACAACTAGATGTTATAACAGTCTCATACATAAAATTTCAACATCCTATGGCTATTTGTTTTTGAGTTATGTGAGATACATACAGACGTCACGAGAAAAATCTCTTCTGAATCCTTTTCACACAATCTGTTTTTGAAAAAAGTCCTTTATTCTATCCGTATGTACAGATGTCATGCAAAAGCATCATTCAAATGGATCCACAAAAGCAATCAAAATAGATATTTTCATTGAAATACGACACCCGAAATTTTTCACAATTACAGTCCTTCCTTTAATTCACACAAAGAATTAAAAAGCAGTTATGAAGTAACTATTACAAACATTTAAAATGCAACATATAACAACAGAAAGAAAGGGGGAAAAAAAGATAAGTTATCAGTAACCAACTGATTTTATAATTACTTCTTTATCAGTGCAACTATTGTAAATAAAAATTTGTTTGTTAGCATTTATTATGCCATTATCTTTTTCATTATCTCTGTGGTGGACACTTATTTTATCAATTGATATTTTACTAAAAATAAAACTGAAAGTAGAAATAAAAAGAATAAAATTTGTCCTTTTTCTCTACTTTCAAGGAAAAAAAAAAGAGAAGACTTAAAATACACATCAAACAAACAATACATAAAAATACCCCCCCCCCTCAAAAAAATAGCATTTCTTAATTTCTTGCCTAAAAAGCTGTTTTAAATTCAATTTTTTAAAATAACCCAAACTTCAGATAATCTACTCAATGTCAATAAGAACATCACATGTCATAGCAATCACATCACAGCAAGGTTCAACATGTTGATTAAAAAATACAACTATAATTTTAAAAGAAAATATACATATTGCACATGCACATGTATATAATTAAAAAAAATTACATTAAAACTAGGCTTGCTTGATTTTTTTCCCTCACTTCTAATCTCCAGGAAAAAAGGGGGGAGAGAAAGGTCAATTACCGGTTTATTTATTTAATTTTTAACTTTATTTGCATTTTATTATATACTAGAACCCCTGTTATATGCATCAATTTATCTTCTTTCTAGGCAATATTAAAGTTAACTTTTAATTTATTTTTGTTTGTTTTAACCTTTTCTATTTTCAAATGATATGCAAGATATTTTTACATTGAAGAGAGACACCATATAAATTCATTCCTCCTTTCTGAAACACCTTGTATATTCATTTTACTACAGACAAATGTGCTGCTCAGCCTATGAATTTATCATTTTGTAATTTAAGAAGTGATTTCCTTTCAGTGAGTAATTTACATATAACTTCTTCCTCTAGGTATAATTATGAGCATTTTATGCATTTTTAGAGAAAATTTGGCAATTTATTATCTATCCTCAGGAATACTGCCAACTGTACAACTCCAATTTATCCAATCAAAAAGTTAGGAATTTCTAATTCTTCCTCAGAGATTTTTATAACAAAACCACGAGTTATTGAAATTCTGACATCTATTCTTGATGTGGCAGAGACTATGTAAAAACATTTTGAAGTCTTCAAACAAACTTATGCATATTCCATTAGTAATTACAATAGTATGGTTAGTTATTAATCCACAGCACTAATTATCTTTTATTTGTTTACAATTGAATTTTCATAATATTAAAAATTAAAATAGCTTTATATGAATGAGATAATGTTTATGCGTTTGTTAAATTTATATACAGAGAGAGAGGCTGAAATCAGAGAAAAAGGGTCAGAGAGGGTTTTATAACAATATAAAAAGATTTTGTCTGATATTAATTTCTCTCTCCCAGAGGGGGGGAAAAAAAAATCGAATAGTACAATGGAAGTCAGTGTTCATTGTTCATATTCTTCTCAGCCACTGACAATACATATATTATATTAAAAGAATTGCGAATCTATTTAATCTAAAAAAATATACTTTTTTTAAATGAATTTAAATAAATTATAAACAATCAACAAATTTCATAATGGAAAGGTGGAATTTTATACTAAAATGTTTGTCCCATGATTGCAAATATCCGATAATTTTATAAGAATTACAAGCACTACATGAAGTGCAAAAATATATCCATAAATTTATTTTTGATTCCACACTAATATCAGTACCCAAAATACAGTCATTTACCCTCTAACTCTTTTGCCCAGGTGATATAATAAATTTTTTAATCAGTTTTAATCTCTGATATTTTACCAAATTTTATGGCAATGCCTGAATCACTTATTTAAACAGATCCTATGCCACTGTCATTATTTAAACTATTTGGGATGCATAATTTCAAAAGAACTTTTCTGTAGGAAAAACATTATAAACTACAAATGAACTACAGAACATAACTTTCTGAAATGCAGAAAATAAAGAAACTGGCAGAGAGAACTTAAATTACTAGAAAAACAAATTTTAATTGAAAGTAAAAGCAAGCTATCCTACCAGTATAAATATCATCTTCAGCATCTTCATCAAATATTTCTCGTCCATCATCAACATAGCCTCCTACTCCATCTATAAAAAAAGGAAAAAATATGCATTTATATTATACAGAAGCAAAACTATTTACAGATGCTTAAGAAAAATAATTAAATCAATCAATTAACCAATCAATTACATAGTCATCAAGCATATGATGTCATTCATAGGACATCAGGGTGCTTTTTGGTATCACTGCAACCAATTTCATGCAATTTGGCGATTTAGAAAGTTATTTATTTCACATAATACATGCTATTAGGTACATTGCGCTCACGCACGCACACACACACACACACACACACACACACACACCAAAAAAAAAAAAAAAAAAAGACAGTTTTTATATCTTCTATTCCACTGGGTCAATTGACAAAATTCAACTCGAGTTTTCAATGTCTCGAAAGCATGACTTAAAATATGTATTATATTTATATGTGTCATTGTTCTAATATAGGTATTTTGGCACAAAATCGGACGTTTTCTGAAATGACATGCCAATGTTTTTCCATATTTTGATTCTACGACTCAAATTATGCCAAACTGCAAAGTTCTGTAAAAATCACACAAGTAGTTTTTAAAAATTATTCTGAAAAGCAATAAAAAATAGAACAAATAATAAATGGAACAAAAATTTTATCATTCTAAAGTCAGTATTACAACATGAAGTGCATTTCAGAGGAATTCACAATTTCGTTTCAAACAAAAATTAATAGTTTATTTGCAAACATTTTTCACAGAAAACATTTTGATTATCTTTACATAGACAGAACATTTTGATTATCTTTATATAGACAGAAACAGAAGCATATTCTTTCAAAAAAAAATATTCTAAAAGTTAACTTTTTGTAATAAATCACTCTTTCTTAGTAAGAAAGTGCACACCAATTTTAAAATTTAAATTTATCATTCACATTTTTAAAGAACCAAATTTTTTTAACAAACATGAAACTAATCAGCCTTTGGACAAAAAAAAAAAAAAAAAAAAAAACGTCTTCAGACATAAAACAATAACCTCATTCATAGTTATTTTTAAATAACACAGAATCTTATTTTGAACACAGTTGACAGCAGATAAGGATACTAGATCCTTACAATGTGTACTGCCCCTCAAATGCAATTTTCTGTATATACAACGCTTTTCAAGATAATTTTTTCAGCAATAATGCTTGTTCGAATGTTTTAGAACAAGTATGTTTCATATTTATATTTAAGATATAACAAAATACGAATACTAAGAAACAATTGGCAACTTCAAAATTAACTATTCTAAATTTATGTTCTCCCCCCTATGTTCATCTGTTCTCCCGAATTCGAGATCTTTCCATGTTACAGAACAATCTAAAATTAACCAAATCACAGATTAGATGTACTTATGCATCATACTTAGTATAAATACTCTTTGCAAGCAACTACATCTTTTAAAAACCAGTGTACATAAAATTAAACATATTTAACTATGACTGCATAAATGTCTACCAAGATGATTTGATATGTGTGAAAATAAAGATTGTGATACTTCAAGCTCAGTTGTGTTAAATGCGTCATCATGCCTTTACCCTCAGCCTCTACTGTCTTCTCAGCCATGTTTACAGTCACAAATTTAAAGTACCAAATCCCTCCTACAAACTTAAAATATCACACAGACACATATATACATATATATATATATATATATACAGTCCTAGCATTTATAATGTCAAAATGCCTGTGAAGAGTTAAACTGTCTTTTCTTATCTTATACATGTGATTAACCTACAAAATAAAAGGCAGCGACTTTGAATATTGTATGTACTGGAAGCAAAAGGTTTAGAATAAAAATGAATTACTGAATATGCTAAAATTTGATGTTGAACAGAACATATTTAACAGAAGGTGACATTAATATGTGCCTACATTTGTTGCTATATTCACTACTTTGATATATTTATACCATGTTCAATCCTTTTTATAAAGAAAGCTACATGTCCTAGAAATACTTTTGACAGGTACATGAAATTTCTTTTTAATTGGTACTTTAACAATAAGGAATGCAAGTCCCATCTTTTAATTCCTATAATATATAAACTTTAATTCAAATTAAAATGATGAATTAATTCAAACTAAAATGATGAATTCAAATTAAAATGATAAAATGATGAATGAAAAAAAGTGCTTTAATAATGTAAATTAACTCAGATTGTTCTGTTGCTGGAAACATACTTATGCAAGTCAAGAGTAAGCATCAGAACATAAAGTAAATGAAGAAATCTCTGGTGAGTAGAAAAACGCAAAAATTCTCTCTCTATGTGAATGTGGGAAAAGATATTCTCTTAATATATTTACTCAATATATAAAAAACATATACCGAATACAGTCAAAAGTCGTTAATCCGGACTCGTTGGGACTTCGGCGATTCCAGATTATCAATTTTTCCGGATTATAGATCATCAGTTTAAATCTGGTAAGATGACATGCAAAAAATTATAAAATTAAAAAATAGAAAACCATAATTTATGAAATAAGAACAATTATGATCTAAAGGGTATCAAAATTTACAAAAAAAAAAAAAAAAAAAAAAAAAAAAAAAACTGAATATTTTTTTTATTTTATAAACATTTCTTTCAATGTAAGTTGCTTAACCTTTTAACTGTCATGCCCGAGATTGGTGTTCGAAAATGTCACGCCCGAGTATTTCTCGGGGTAAATTTTTTTTTTTTTTTTTTTGAGTGCATCGTATTGTCATACCCGAATATATATCGGGAGATGTTTATTTCGGCTACATTTGGTTTTTCCAATAAAAAAATTTGACAATTTGTGTACCCAAATCATCAAAATAACTTGACAGTTAAAGGGTTAAGTTGCTTCATTTT